GAGGAGCTAGTGGTAGCTGTTCAATGAAGTTGTTGTAAGGGGCAAAGACTTGGCCTAGAGCAGAACAGTGAATGAGAGTTTCCTCCTGTCTTTCCTTGCCCAAATCACCCAGCTAAGGGGTGGCTGAATCAGCTAGGGCCTCTGACCTTGGAGCAAGGGAGCTGGGGTAGGAGGGAAGCACTGCGCACTGAGGTCTGGCCCATTTGCCTTATGTGTTCACCTCTCTGCCAGGTCCCGGGGAGTCAAAGAAGGTGCAGCAGCTGGAGGAGCAGGTGCAGAGCCTGACAAAGGAGCTGCAGGGCCTTCGGGATGTCCTGCAGGGACTGAGCGGGCGCCTGGTAGAAGATGTCCAGAAGGCTGTGGAGACGGCCTTTAACGGGAGGCAGCAGCCAGCGGATGCAGCTGCCCGCCCTGGCGTGCAGGAGACCCTCAGCGAGATCCAGCAGCAGCTGCAGCTCCTGGACAAGCGCGTCTCCACCCACGACCAGGAGCTGGGCCATCTCAACAACCATCACAGTGGTGGTGGTGGCAGTGGCGGCAGAGCCCCGGGCCCCACCCCGGCCTCCCCCAGCCACAACGAGCAGCTGCTGCGGGAGCTGGAGCAGCGGCTGCAGGAGTCCTGCTCTGTGTGCCTGGCGGGGCTGGACGGCTTCCGCCGGCAGCAGCAGGAGGACAGGGAGCGGCTGCGAGGACTGGAGAAGCTGCTGGCATCTGTGGAGGAGCGGCAGCGGCAGCTCGCCAGGCAGGCTGTGGGCCACAGGCCCCCTCAGGAATGCTGCCCTCCAGAGCTGGGCCGGCGGCTGGCGGAGCTGGAGCGCAGGCTGGAGGTCGTGACCGGTTCAGTCACGGTGCTCATTGGGCGGAGGGGCTCAGAGCTGGAAGGTGCAGCGGGGCAGGGGGGCCATCCCCCAGGCTACAACAGCTTAGTGTCCCGCCTCTCCCGCCTGGAGGACCGATTCAATTCTACCCTGGGTCCCTCGCAGGAGCAGGAGGAGGGCTGGCCTGGGCGTCCTGGGGGACTGAGTCACTGGTTGCCTGCTGCCCGGGGCCGACTAGAGAAGCTGGAGGGGCTGCTGGCCAATGTGAGCGGGGATCTAGGTGGCCGGCTGGACCTGCTGGAAGAGCAGGTGGCAGGGTCTGTGCAGGCATGTGGGCAGCTCTGCTCTGGAGCCTTGGGGGAGAAGGACTCCCAGGTCAGGGAATCCCTCAGTGCCTTGGAGCGCAGGGTGCAGGACAACGAGGGGCAGTTGCGGCTGGTGATCTCAGGCCTACACAAGGTGGGAGCAGCTGGGGAGGCCCGACAGGCCACACTGGAGGGACTGCAAGGGGTCATAGGCCAGCTCCAGGGTCGTGTCGATGCTCAGGGTGAGGCAGCTGCAGAGTTCACACTTCAGCTGAATCTCACAGCTGCGCGGCTGGGCCAACTGGAGGGTCTGCTGCAGGCCCGTGGGGACGAGGGCTGTGGGGCCTGCGGTGGTGTCCAGGAGGAACTGGGCCGCCTTCGCGATGGTGTGGAGCGCTGTTCCTGCCCCCTGCTACCTCCGCGGGGCCCTGGGGCTGGCCCAGGTGTTGGGGGGCCAAGCCGTGGGCCTCTGGATGGCTTCAGTGTGTTCGGGGGCAGCTCAGGCTCTGCCCTACAGGCCCTGCAAGGAGAGCTTTCCGAAGTCATTCTCACCTTCAGCTCCCTCAATGACTCACTGCATGAGCTCCAGACCACTGTGGAGGGCCAGGGCGCCGACCTGGCTGACCTGGGAGCCACCAAGGACCGCATCATCTCCGAGATTAACAGGCTGCAGCAGGAGGCCACAGAACATGTTATGGAAAGTGAGGAGCGCTTCCGAGGCCTGGAGGAGGGACAGGCACAGGCTGGCCAGTGCCCCAGCCTAGAGGGGCGACTGGGCCGTCTCGAGGGAGTCTGCGAGCGGTTGGACACGGTGGCTGGGGGACTGCAGGGCCTACGCGAGGGCCTTTCCAGACATGTGGCCGGGCTGTGGGCCGGGCTACGGGAAACCAACAGCACCAGCCAGACACAGGCAGCCCTGCTGGAGAAGCTGCTGGGGGGGCAGGCGGGCCTGGGAAGGCGACTTAGTGCCCTGAACAACTCACTGCTGCTCCTGGAGGACCGGCTTCAGCAGCTCAGCCTGAGCGACTTCACTGGTGAGGGGGCAAGAGGAGGCCTGGGGTGGTCATGGTGGGGAAGCCCTTTCAAGTCCTTTCTCCCTCCGTCACAACCGCCCAGCCTTAACCTCATCTGCTTTTGCCTTGCTTGTCCCAGCATGAATTACAGACCCATCACTGTCCCAAGGGTTAGTTTATCGACAAGAGATGATCCAAGGCCCCAGCCCCCTGCCCTCCCCTGGCTGCACAGACGGGGCTGGGGGTGGAGGTGGGGCGCTGCTCTGCCCGCCAGGTATCCTGTGTGGGCAGCGAGGGATCCCATCAACTTGTCCCTGGAGCCACCTCCCTCTTTGTCCTTTGGAAACTCCTTTTCTGGTCCTCCTTCAATAGACTTTTGTTGCTCTAGGGCCTGCTGGTGAGGCTGGGCCCCCAGGGCCTCCGGGAGTACAGGGACCCCCAGGCCCTGCTGGGCCTCCAGGACCCCCAGGCAGGGATGGACAAAAGGGACCCATCGGGCCACCAGGTAAGTGGGCTGAGATCCCGGCCACCACCAGGGCTACCACCCCTCTGGGCAGCCCCAGGCTTGACACTCCCCTCTGAACTTGACAGGGGAATGGGGAGAGGGGCAACGAATTGGGGGGTCCTAGGTGGCTGATAGTGATTAGGAAAGTGACTAGGAGCTGACAGTCACTGTGTTGGCTAATTGGATATGGCAGCCTCCCTGCTGCATTGAAGACCAAGGTTGCACCCACAAGGGCTGTGTCGGGTGTGAAAGGCTGGGGGCTAAGGGCTTAGGCCCAGCAGTTAAACAGCCTGGACCTATTCCTCCTTTTCTTGGTGCCCCCATTCCTGCTGTGAAGTCTGTATAGCAAGCACCTAGCACAGCTGTACACACTCAGCAGGTGTTTGCTGAGTGACTGAGAGAGAGCTGCTCTACCTCTCACTGCTCCCTTTCCTCCTCCCACAGGTCCCCAGGGCGAGCAGGGTAAGTTCTTGTTTGCTGCTGGAGGGAGGGGACCTGAGCCAGGGGCTGGAGGGTGGAAGGCCTCAGGCAGCCCTGGGGGTAGAGGCTCTGGAGGGGAAGGGGGCTGGGCAGCTCTGCCCTGAGCATCTTCTCTGACACCCACCCTGTCCCCACCCAGGAGTGGAGGGGGCACCAGCAGCCTCTGTGCCCCGGGTGGCTTTTTCAGCTGCCCTCAGTTTGCCCAGGTCGGAACCAGGCACAGTGCCCTTCGACAGAGTCCTGCTCAATGATGGGGGCTACTACGATCCGGAGACCGGTGAGCCTGCTGGGGGGTGGCTGGGCACTAGGGGGCATGGGAGGCAGAATCCGTCCAGAGGTTATGCAGTGATACGTTCTCATTCTTGCCCCTTTAGAGAAGGTGAATGTCTTCATGCTCTGATTTGGGGAGAACCCTATTCTTTCCTTCATTTATTCGTTCTCACCACAGCTTGGGCTGACTGCTGGGGAGGAGTCACTCCTTCAACAGCTCTTTACTGGGGGCCTGCTGCTGCCCAGGCGCTGTTTTGAGTGGAGGGAGAGGGGTCGTGGGGGGAACCAGTAACCAACCAAACACCAAATGCTCTGTCCTCCTTGAGCTTACACTCTTGTGGAAGAGAAATGAAAAGACCCAGCAGGTCCCTCCTAGTCCAGGAGTTCTGGGTGCGGTAGCCTTCCCCGCACCTGCCACCTGTCTCTTCTGACTGCCATCCTTGTCCCCAGGCATATTCACCGCGCCACTGGCCGGACGCTACTTGCTGAGCGCAGTGCTGACTGGGCACAGGCACGAAAAAGTTGAGGCTGTTCTGTCCCGCTCCAACTTGGGTGTGGCCCGCATAGACTCTGGTGGCTACGAGCCTGAGGGCCTGGAGAATAAGCCAGTGGCCGAGAGCCAGCCCAGCCCTGGCGCCCTGGGCGTCTTCAGCCTCATCCTGCCGCTGCAGGCTGGCGACACGGTCTGCATCGACCTGGTCATGGGGCAGCTGGCGCACTCAGAGGAGCCGCTCACCATCTTCAGTGGAGCCCTGCTCTACGGGGACCTGGAGCTAGAACACGCGTAGGCACCGGCCCGGTCGACCGGCCTCGAAGTGTCTCTGCCAGCCAAAGAGCCAATGGGGGGCGGCGGGCTCCCGCCCGGGACTGGGCACTGTCCTGGCACCGGAGCCCTGGGAGAGTCGCTGTCTCCAAACCCGCTGCGGCAAAGGCGCCCAGAGCAGCCTCCTCCCCACTCCCCACAAACGGAGCGCGTCGGGTTGGGGCCTCCGGAGTCCCCTCGTCCATTTTTGGCCTGATCGCTGTCCCCTGCAGGACCCGGACTACGGAGGAACAGATAGATCCTGGTAGCCTAGAAGCTCCCCCAACTGGCTTCTAGGCCCATTTCCTGAGTTCCAGGGTTTTTCCCGAGGGTGCTTCGGCTCCCACCGCCATACTAAACTATTCAGGAATAAAGACATTTGTTTTTTATAAAAAAAGAACAAAACAAAACACGCCGTCTGCTTTAGTATGTTCGGGGGTAGATAGGAGTACACAGGGAAGAGAATTGGAAAGCCCCGGGTTCTAGACAGGCTCGTGTTCCCCGCGTTGCGCCGCGTGGCTCCGCCCTCTAGGTGCGTCAGCAGTTTAGAGCCCCAGCGGGACCCTCTGGCCGGTCACACGCGTTCCTGCCTGTGTTCGCCAGGGGGCGCTGAGCGCCATCTCTGGTCACATGACCCTGCTCACCTCAAGCCCTGTCCCCGGTTCCCTCCCCCCTCCCCGCAACGACTCGCCGCGGAGGCGGGGCCTCGGGCTGGGATTGGCCGCGTCTCGGGGCGCCGGACCCTGCAACAAAGCTTCGCCTTAACCCGACAGGTCACAGCTACGAGGCCGGCTCAAACCCACGGTTCTAGAGGGTAGAGTAGGAGCCGCTAATGCAGGAGAGGGCGGAGCAAGGGTCACCTTTGTACTGCACTTTTGTTTGCATTCCTAAAGTTGCCTAGCTATGCTTTAGACGGGTTTGCATTAGCTCTGAGTCAGTCTGACACAGGAAACTGAGGCCGAGAAGCGGGAAGCGTTGCCATCTGCTGGGCCACGCAACCTGTTAAGGCGAGGCCGGGGACCAAGGCATCAGAGTCTGCGCAACATCTTGGGTCGGTGGGCTTGGGGAGCAAGGGCCTTACTGCGTTCTTTGCACCTCACTGCACCCTCTGCCGCTGCGGGAGGCTCCCTGGAGGAGGAGCTCGGGACCGGGAGGAGGAGCCAGGGCAGCTTCAGGGCGCGGGACCACAATCTTAAGGGATAAGATCTAGAACCCGGAGCAATCCCTGCAGCCCGGCAGGCAGAAAGCTCCGGGAGCGACCTCATGGAAGAGAAGCAGATACTATGCGTGGGGCTAGTGGTGCTGGACATCATCAATGTGGTGGACAAGTACCCGGAGGAGGACACGGACACCAGGTAGGGGCGCCCGGGTCCCCCGGAGACCCCAGAGGCCGCTGCAGCCCCGCGTTTGTGCCTGGCATCCAAGACTACAGAGCTGGGGCCGTGGAGGCCAGCCTCGGAAGCCAGTGCGCCTTGCCCTGTGTCCGGGACCTGGGGAAAGAATTGAGTCCTTTAGTAATAAGACCCAGGCTTCGGATAGCATTGTGTTCGCCAATTTCCATTTCAACCCAGGGACAGTGTCAAGCATGATTATCCCTATTTTACCCATAAGCAAGTAGAGACTCAGAGATGAAGTGATTTATCTAAGGGCACACAGCTAATACGTGCAGGACCAATTTGTTAATTTTTTAACAAAACTTGTGCCCTTCCCTCTCACTAGCATTTGCTTCTTATTTATTTACCACATATATACCTCATCTGTTTCCTTTAAAAAAAAAAAATTGAGGTAGCTTGCAGTAAGGAGCATAAATGGTTAGTTAGAATGGGCAAGAACATTTCAAGTCATGGTATTTGAGCTTCACTATAGCCCAGGGCTTGCAGACACTGGGGGGACCTTTAAGGTGCTGTGGGTTATGGATAGAGCTGGTTCATGTGCCAGGACGGACTTTTCTCTGGTGCTAAATTCTGAAAGGAGTATACCAGAAGCCCTTTTTACAAGTCAGTTGGTAACATAGTGGAAAATCTCCATCTCAGTTGTCTGGTGGAAGTTGAAGAGTCATATGTTGGTTCTTATATTTACTCTTGAAAAGAACTACATGGTTACACTGTTATCCCAAGAAAGCATTTTGGTGCGGTGTGCAGAATACAGGGCTTTCTCTTGGGGAAGTCCGGTATTTAGAATACTGAGAAGAAGTTCTCCTTGGCTCTCAGCTGTCTCAGCCAGGAGCCGGATAAAAGGCCCGTTCTAGGCTGAGCTCAGCGAGACACTCCAGCGCTGATAGCCTTGAGGCCGAAGGGAGGGCCCAGGCATCGCTCAGGCTTTGCGTCCATCCAGCACTGTCGCATGTGTTACCACACATGTGTTCCCAGCAGCCCATGGGAAGTGTGTAAAGACCAGTCAAATCCTTTCTTCATAGATGCGGAAGATGTGGAGACATTAAATGGTTTCTGTAAGGCCACGTGGTTCATGTGTGGCAGAGCAGAAATCAGAGCCCAAGCCTCCTAACTCCGGGTCTCGCACTCCAGCCCTCCGGTCTCTCATGCTCCCTTTCCCGTTGCTGCTGCCCCGTCTTGTGGCGCTGACCCTTTGCTTTGGGCTGCTTTATTTGCGAGAGGTTAGAGCTTCTTGCCAGGGGTGCAGGGGCAGTGGGGGAGAGGCACAAGGGTGTGCCCCCACACCGAGATCAAGACAGCCCTAGGGCAGGGCGCACAGTGAGGAGTTCGGCTTCCGCTCAGGAGAACAGGGTACACCCCGGAGCCACGGGTCCTCCAAGGCCTGTGGCCGGCCTGAGGAAGACCCACAGCGCTTCTTTCGACTAGACCTGGAGCCCCATGGAGGCTAGGACAGGGTTGGGGGAGACCCTGCCACCCTGCCTGGGGCTGCTTCTGAAGGCAGGCACGAAGTGAGGTGCCTCTCTGAAGAGAACTTGCCCATGTTCTCCACGCCCCTGCCCTTCAGGACGGACTCCTGCTCCCCCAGACCCATGGCTCTGCCGCCCTGCAGAGCACCGTGGCTGTCCTGAGGGCCTCTCCCGCGTGCTCCCATTGCACCCAGCCCAGCTCCTGGGCTCTGTTGTGCCTCCCAGGTGAGCAAGCCTGAGGGAGGATGGCAGCCCTCAGCTGTCTCAGCCGCATGTGTCCCAGGCAACAACTCCACAAGCAGTTGGGGGATCTCAGGAGCTGCCATCGGGCACTCGGCCAGACCCCCGAGGAATGGCCCTGCCTCCCAGGGTGCAGGCCAAGGAGAGCCTTCCAGAAAGCATCTTCACGTTCAGCAGAGTCTTTCTGCACATAAAGTTGGGTGACAGCATGACTCTGAGGAGTTTCCACGGAGTGAAACTGTGTCCTTTTTCTTTGAAGCCTCATCCAAGCTGGAGCCCGACCACTTTCCATTAAAAAATACGGAGTACACTGCGGTGGTCGGGAATGAGGAAAACCGGGTTCTGATTCCAGCTTTGTCATGAACTGTCGGTGTGATTTTGAGCAAGTCAGGTGCCCCTGTGCTCCTCCTCTCTTTTCTGCATGGAAATTTCTCTAAAACTCATAGCCCGAGAAACGTTTGACCCTCTACAAATTAGTATCTTTCTTTCTAATGAGATTATGGTTCCCTTTTCCCAAGGTTGAAGGGAAGTTCAGGGTTAAGTTTTGTGTACAAATGAATATTTGTCTAAAAGTTCTGTTGCATTTATTTCCCTTAATTAGCAAGTCTCTGGTATTTGTTCCTCTTACTGTAACCTGCCACAGTTGTTATTTTTTTTTTATTATTATTTTGGAGCTAGGAGAATAGAAATAGCAGCCTGCACTGTTTAACTCACAGTTTTATTGGAGCACAAATGAGAAATCACCGAAGCGCTTTGACTATATGTGCATAAGTTATCATTTTTGTTGTTGATGATGACAACGAAGCCAAACAGATGTATTTTGAGTTGTTTTCCTCTTGTTAGACTTTCAGTAAAGATGGAGGGAGAATAGGTAACTATATGAAGTGATAGATGCATCAATTAACCTAACTGTGGCAATCACTTTATAATATGTATATATATATATCAAATCACGTTGTGCTTCTTCAGCTTACAAGTATTATATGTCGATTATATTTCAATAAAGCTGAAAAAAGGGAAACAAATGAAAAAAGGGAAACAAATTCAGCCTCCCCACCCAGCTCTCAAGGGGAGGCTGAAGGCACAGCAGCTCTACCTGGGGGAGGGATGGGCCACTGACCTCGAGGAGGAGCTAACCTGGAGGGACTGAAACCCCTTCGCTGTAAGGAACCTGACTGAGTGGTTTCCTGATGTCATAAGAATAGGCAGAAGGTAGAAATTAATCTCAGTGGACTTGAATTTAGCCTGGGCTGGGGAGACAGGCCTGGTCTGCAGCCAGACCACTGCCCTTTGTTGAGCCTTAGCTGCCCGTGTAGAAAGTGAGAAGGCGGCCCACGTGCCTTCTGACGGAGTTCTCCTGTCCTCACATCCTGTGGGCCCTGCCCAGGGCGCTGTGGGCAGCCGTGCTCATCCCAGGGTGAGCCTGCTGGGGCTGCAGGACCCTCCCTGTGCTTTACAGGTGCTTGTCCCAGCGGTGGCAGCGCGGAGGCAACGCGTCCAACTCCTGCACCGTGCTCTCCCTGCTCGGAGCCCGCTGCGCCTTCATGGGCTCGCTGGCCCCGGGCCACGCCGCTGAGTGAGTTGAGGAGGGAGCAGGGGAGGCCTGTCCACAGGGTCGGGGAAAGAGGCAGCCTCGAAACCCTGGCTGGGTGGGCTGTAAGAAATGGTTCGTGGCCACCAGAAATGGATGGGAAGGGACGAAGTGGAGTACCAGCATCCCAGAGCTTCCCCGCTGTGGCTAATCTGCTCCTCCGATGTTAATGCTGCTCCTGTTAAAGGTTTCATTTCCACAGCCTGGATCCTTGGCCACTCTCTGGAGTCTGCTTCAGCCCCGCCCCCCACCTTGTCCTTCCTTGCTTCCAACAGACTGCGGTGGATGTGACTTTGCCCTTCTTAACTCCCTCATCCTGGCTATGTTTGAGGCAGATGCAGCTAGGGACATGTACCCATCCTCCCTCAGGGATGTCTGGCATCCGTGGTCCGAAGGTCCAGGCTTACAGTTTCTTTCCCAGGTGAGGGGGCAGGGCCAGTGCTCATGTCCTCATTGTTCCCTGAAGCAGCAAGAGCACCCTGGCCAAGGACACCCTGAAGCCACGTGCTAAAGCTGGGCCCAGACCCGCGCGCCCCAGCTCATTGGCTGTGAGGCTGCAGCCCGTAAAGGCCCACGTGCTGTTCATGTTGCTGCTGCAGGGACCCAAGGATCCTTTGACCCCTGGCACTGCCGACTCAGCAAGCACTTATCAGACCCACACTTTGCCCACTGTGGCGCTGGGGCAGGTTCCAGGTTGCTGGCCTGTGAAGCACAGCTCTTTGAACCCTGGTTTAGAGAGCTTGACCTGCTGCAAGAGCCCAGCCCTCTGGTGACCTGGCAGGAAGCAAATCAGGGTGAGAGCCTGCCCGTGAGATGGGACAGAGGGACTTGGAGCCAACAGCTGGTCATTTATTAACCCTCTCCAACAGCTGCGTTCCCTACCAGCTAGAGGCAAGGCTGGCTCTTACTTAGGGTAGTGGACCCACCTTTATGTAGCAGTCATGCCAACGGGTGGGCCATTCCAAATTGTCCCCATGTGCTCAATGAACATTTAATGAACACCTATCATGTGCCAGGCACTGTGGGTACAAAAAGTTATTTGGCAAGACGAACCATATTTTCCATGCTGTGGGAAAGCTACTATTTAAAGGATCCTTGAGATGTAAGACAAGGACCGATGTCCTGACTTTGTCTCTATCACGTGCTGTTGAGTTGGCTCCAACTTCTTGTAACCCTATGGATGCGTGACGTCCGCAGTGTCCTGTCCTCACCAGGCCTGCTCAGTTCCTGAGGCTTCCTTCCTGCAGCCAGTCCATCTCATATTTGGTCTTCCCCTTTTCCTGCTGCCTTCCATCTTCCCAGCATTACTGTCTTTTCACCTTTACACTAATCTGTATTGTCCAGAGTTGGCGTCGCCTTAAATGGGGCCCGTCATAGTGAGGAAAGCCAGGGCAGTGACTGGGCAGCTGGCGTAATGCCAGGTCTTGGGCACAGGACACCGACTTTCTAGAGAGGGTCCGGAAGGGTAGGGCTGGCCTCCTTGTTCTCCTGCTGTGCAGTCTCCCTGAGGGGCCGCCCCCCGACTCACCCTGATTGGAGGGGATTCTGGGCAAGAGTCCTGCACCAGGCCCACACTGAGGGCCACCGGCCTCTGGGGGCCCGTTCATTGCCCGGGAGGGCTCACCCTGCTGTGGGAAGAGAGGGCGGTGCGCGCGCGCCAAGGCAGGTGGAGAGTAAGAGGACTCTCTGTAGGACTGGAAGGGACTCCAGAGAGCAGAGTGCCGTGGGGATGAGTATGCAGAGGGCAGCTGGTGAGCAAAGTATCACCTTGGTAATTATTAAGTCTGCCTGGGCTTTGCATGAGACAGGCCACAGTACCCTCACCTGCTTGTTTCAAACAGCACACGCTGCTGCCCCCAAATCTACCCTGGCTCGCTTTACAAATGTAAGCAGATCCTTCCCAGCTTGAGTCAAAGTGAAGGATAGCATCAGGGTAGGAGTTTGCTCCATGTCAGGGCCTAAAACAGTGCCTCGTAGTGCTTCCTCCCTGAGCTCCAGCTTTTGCATTCCTGCCCTTCCCTCCTTGCGTGGCCTGTGACAGCTGGTGATCTGTAGTTCCCTCCTAGCTCCCTCTGCTTGCAGCCTGGGTCCCTAGCGGCCCTGCCAGCTACCTCCCAGCCCCCAAACCTTGTCAACTGCGCCTCCCCCGGGTTACTCCGCCCGGCAGTTTTGTCTTGGATGACTTCCGCCGCTATCCCGTGGACCTACGCTACGTGGTCTTTCAGACCACAGGCTCCATCCCCACCTCCACCGTCATCGTCAACGAGGCCAGTGGTAGCCGCACCATCCTACACGCCTGCAGGTTTGTACTCCCGTCTGCGCCTTGCCAGCTGCCGCCGCCGCCGTTGCTGAACTCCCAGAACAGGACCTTCTCTCAGAAGAGGGACGCTCAGCACCTATGTGCTCCAGCACCCTCCCCCACCCCTGTGGAAGGTTTAGGCCACTTGTAGGCTCTAATTTGTGTCTCCTTCCCCTTCCCTTGGCTCGGGCTCCACCCCAAGTTTCCTGGTGGCTGACTTCAGGCAGCGGGGTGTGGACGTGTCTCAGGTGGCCTGGCAGAGCAGGGGAGAGACCCCGTGCTCTTGCTGCATCGTCAACAACTCCAATGGCTCCCGTACCATTGTGCTCTATGACACGTAAGGCCCCCTGGCCTCGCCCTGCCACACCCACCAATCAGTGCCCTCACTTGCCACTATGCGCATCCCAGTTGCCCACCCTCTGTGGCCTTTCTCTTTACCGGAAATTGTCCCTATGCCCAACCGACTGCTCAGTGATTTCTGAAGTGTTTTCAATGAGGGGAGAAGTGAGGTGGGGACGGGAAAGGCTTTGCTCTGCCAAGCAACTTGGCCTTGGCCAACACCAAGGATGGGCAGACGTGCCTGTACGGGAAGTAATTTATGGTGTGATTCCTCCATAATTAGTCAATCAGCAGCCCAGGTTTGGGTGTGGGGAAACTGTTCTGAGGATAGAGGGGTGGGAGCTGTGATTCAAACCATCGTAAGCCCTGGCGGGACCCAGGGGGCTTTCCGGGGTCGGCCTCAGTGTTGCCAGCCCACAGCATGGCACCAAGGAGCTGGGGTTTGGGTGTTCAGAAACGATGAGGCCCCTCCAGGTTCCCCGCATAGTGAAGCCAGACTGCACATCACACACCGCACACCATTCGCAGCCATTGATGAAGGGGCACATTGGGCCAGCAGATCAGGACCATCAGGGGCAGTGCTGAGCAACAACCTAGTATGTGCCAGGCACTGTGGCAGGGCTGAGACGGCCCAAACTCAGCCGCCCTGGGGTTCAGGCCACCCCTACTGCCCAGTATGGCACTCAATCTGGGGAAGAGGGGCAGTCACCCTAGGACAAGCTTTATGGCCAGTGGTCCCTGGGCTCCATGTGTCCCAATGAATGAGTGGGCGTACATGCTAGCGGCAACATCCACAATGGGCAGTGCTAGTCATCTGCCCATTAAGCAACAACCTGTAGTGACTTCCGTCAAGGACACAACATGGGTCTTCCCAGGCAGGGAGGCAGAGAGCTCTGGGGAGAGCTCTGAGGAGAGAGGTTAATTGCCTGCCGGCCTCAGTGCAGACATGCACACACATTGTATTACCTCCAGCCGACTGCAGCGGGCCTGTGTGGCTGCGGGTTTGGGCCCCATTTATCGATGGGAAAGTAGCTTCGGAAAGGCCCAGGTCACATGGCTGGCTAAGTGGCCGAAGGATTCAGCTCTGCAGTACAGAGAGGACATCAGCTGTGTGTAGGTCTCTGGCCAAGGAGGACCCATGTGGGGTGTCCACATATAACTTAGCCAAATATAAACTCATCCTCAAGTGCTAAGCTTAACCTCACGCTCGCACCACATGGCTGCCAAACTCGGGGCAGTGGTGCTCTCATTGCTGGGGTGCCAGAAGTGAGCAGGACCAGACCCGAGCTTCAGGTGGAGTAGCTGTGGCCTTTGCAGTTTCCTGGGGCACAGCTGGGAGCCTTGTGTGCTGCTGGCACGGGGAATTCTGGGAATTATAGTCCTGGGCGTTCTTAGGACCATTCTGGGAGATACGGTCTCCAAGGCACACAAAACTGGCTCCCTGACAGGTACTGTTTGCCCTTAGAGAATATCACAGCCTCGAACACAGGAAGGGGCACCCTAGACAACTGCCTTCAGTGCCCTGTCTGGATGGAGCCGAGTGGGGCAGGGAGCAGTCGCGAGTTTAGCTTGGGACAGAGTCTGTCCCGGAGCTGAGGGACAGAGCCTGTATGTAGAGCCAGCTTCCTGCCATGCTTGTCAGGGCCAGGCACAAGGGCCAAGCAGCCTGTTGGGGATCCCGGTTCTGGCCAACCTCACCATGCCACTTCTCTGTCCTTTCCGTATTGTGACTCAGGAACCTACCAGATGTCTCTGCTATGGACTTTGAGAAGGTTGATCTGACTCGGTTCAAGTGGATCCACATTGAGGCAAGCCCTGCCCTGTGTTTTGAAGCACTCGACCTGCCAGCCCCTCCTCGTGTTTTGCCTCCTTCTTGGTTTCTTTGAAACCATGAAGTGCCTTAGTGATCAATAAATATGACCCTCCTTATCCCCTTTCCATCCTACTTTATGCTTTTAGGTAGGACACTAAGGCCCACAAAGGTTGGGTGACTTACTCAAGATCACACAGCAGGAGGTAGGCGCCGGAAGCAGGATGTTGACTCCAGGCAAAGCCCCGTGCTTCTGTGTCACAAGCTGCCCTGTGTGCTGCACGCAGGCAGGAGCCTGGCAGCCGGAGGCCTGCCATCACCTCTGGGAGGCAGAAGGGGGAGGGTCCAAGCAGCTCCCAAATACCAGGAACTAGAATCTCCATTGCAAGAGAAGTTTTGGAGTCCGGCGGGGGAAATCCCAGGAAGCCTTGAGTTCTAATCCTTGCCCTGTCATTTAACTTACAGGTCCTTAGGAAAGTCTCTTTTTTATTCTTTAGTCTCCTCATCTATGAAATGGGAGGGCTGGTCAGTAAGGCCTCTAAGGTCCATGATAGCTCTAGAATTTTGAGATTGAGGATGGAGTTCCAGCCCAGCCTGCCCCCCGCCCCCTACCCCCTCACCTGGAGTTTCAGCAGGGAGGGAAGAACAAGCCAGACTGGCTGGGCACTTCCCACCTGGTCCTGAGCTGCCTTGCCCCGCCCCAGGGCCGGAACGCCTCGGAACAGGTGAAGATGCTGCAGCGCATTGACCAGCACAACACCAGGCAGCCCCCGGGGCAGAAGATCCAGGTGTCCGTGGAGGTGGAGAAGCCCCGTGAGGAGCTGTTCCAGCTGTTTGGCTATGGAGACGTGGTGAGCACCCCATGCAGCTTCTCCTGGCCCCATCTAGCTCATCGGGTGCTTAAAAGGAGCCTGAGCCTCCCCTTGTCTTGCATGCCATGCCTGGGTGGCGAGCTACTCATGCCTTGGTGGTAGTAGCAGGAAGGGGACAAAGGAAAGAGGCCGACCCCAGCTTTGGGCCCTGGCACTGCCTTCGGCGGTGGCCGAGGAGAATCTCTGCCCCAGAGGGTGCGTCGGCACGAGGGTAGGTAGCCAAATGGCTTGGACGGGGCAATCCTTTGTGGAAGCGTCTCTTCTCTGGGCCGCCTCAGTCTTTCTGTCCCTTGAGGGGATAGGACTATTCTCCGAGGTGTCCTTTGATTCTGGGGTGGGTGACAGGTTATGGGAGCCACTAGTGGGGGGCAGGGAGGATAGGAAGGGGACTTGCACAAGGTGAATTTGGGCAGAGTAGGCTCTAAATGGAATCTGGTTGACAAGCTTAGCATCATTGCAGAAGCTGGTTGGTCCGCAACCTTGGCTGCAGGTTAAAAGATGTGGATGCCTCTACCCCACCCCACCCGTTTGTTGTTTGGTAGGGGTGGAGCCTGGGTGGAAGTGTTTTTTAACACAGCTGTCTCTAGAGATTCTACGGTGTAGCTGGTGTTGAGGGAGCTTTTGAGCCTCTATCCCTTTGCTTTTTAGATGAAGAAACCAGGTCTAGAGGGTATAGTTGTATGAGGAAAACAAGCTAAACAAAAGCAAAAATGCTCCTGGGAGTTGGCAGTTTAAATTGGCAATGGTAGATTTCACCCCAAGATGGCGCTCAAGGTTTGCTTTGGGTTTTCAGTTGGAAGGCAATTCATTGAAGAATAAATAGACCAGGGCGTGTGTGTCACAATTACAGGGTGGTATTCTGGCATATCTTGAGCAAGTGTGAAAACGTGTTCCCGGGAGGCAGTGAAATATTATCTTGGGGACTGGGGTGGCCACATGGGAGGAGCAGTTCTATAGGGGGCAATGCTAGGCTGCTGTTGGTGAGTGACTGAGCTGGGACTGGAGTTAGGGAGGTCGTCAGCCTCTCTTCCGCTGTTCACAGGTGTTTGTCAGCAAAGATGTGGCCAAGCACTTGGGGTTCCTGTCAGCAGTGGAAGCCCTGAGGGGCTTGTACAATCGCGTGAGGAAAGGGTGAGCTGGGGACTCCAGGATGAACAGGTGTGGGAACTGAGTGAGCCTGGACCCCAGGGTCTGTCCTGGGGACGGGAAAGGAGCCTGGGGCCGGGGCTGGCAGCCAGCTGAGGGGCGGGTCTTCCAGGGCTACCCTGGTCTGTGCCTGGGCTGAGGAGGGCGCCGATGCCCTGGGCCCTGACGGACAGCTGCTCCACTCGGATGCTTTCCCGCCGCCCCGGGTGGTGGATACTCTGGGGGCCGGCGACACATTCAACGCCGCGGTCATCTTCAGCCTGTCCCGGGGTGAGTACCCCTGCAGGAGGCGCAAGGCTGGGGCCCGGCCCTGCGCAGGGGACCCGGGCTGATCCAGCTCCTTGTCCTCCCTCCAGGGAAGAGCATGCAGGAGGCACTCAGGTTCGGCTGCCAGGTGGCTGGCAAGAAGTGTGGCCTACAGGGCTACGATGGCATCGTGTGAGTGCCCTGTGGCAGGGGGCACCGGCTCGCACCACCCTGGGGGCCAATGTCGCCAGCTGCTGCCGCCTTCTCCCCTCCACCCAGCCTAGCATCTGGCGGCCCTGCTCCCTGGCAGGCGCAGGCCGTGGGAGGGCTCCGCCTGCGTCCTGGCGTCTCACACTGCGGAGCCACAGAGCAAATAAATCTCCTTCCGCGGAGCCTGCTTCCTTCTGGCAATCTGTTTGTCCTTGATGTCCAAACTGCTCTGGCTGGGGCTTCTGGAGGCTTTGATACTGCAGCTCTTCCTCCTCTTTCTTCCATTCCCCCCTTTCACCGCCCCACCCAAGCCCAAAGGAGGGGTTCCCTAGACCAGAGCAGCAGAAATGCCCCAGGCCTGCCACCAGCTATGCCCAGTTCAGGGATCTGTAGCGACAGGGAGCCTTTCTGGCTGGGGAGGACACGAAACTCCTTGTACCCTCCCCAGGGATCCTTCCGAACAACCACACATCAGGAGATAAGCTCCTCTGGGTCCTGGTGCTGTCATGGGACTCCAGTTCCGCAGGCCTAGGAGTGGCTCAGGCTGAACCAACTTCACAGGCCAGCAGGCAGGGAGCCTACTCTGTGGTTGGTGGGGCCTTTGCCATCCAAAAATAGCTTCCCGGTGACCAGTGACCGCTCCAAAGACTGAACGCCCCACCCTTGGGGCCACCTTGGAGTTAAGGCAGTGCCTCCGCCATGAACATGACCCAGGATACAGAGTGTTGCTGTCCCCGAGGGATCCCAGGGTTGAGGCCGTAGGGGTGTGTGAGGCCACAGGCAGCCCTGAGTCCAGATCTGCCTCATAATTAGCTGTGTTGCCTTGGGCGCATTATTGAACTCAATCTTCCTCAATTCCTTCATCTGTCAAAGGGAGCTAATTCTGTCTGGTCATAGAATTATTGTGAGGATAAAAATCACACAATATATAAAATGCTGGCGTGCACGAGGCTCTCAATAAACGGTGGTTATTGTTAATATTATGGGGTGGGGGAGATGCAGGGTGATGGGGGAAGATCTGCCCTGAGATGCAGGGGGGCACTGGGTGTCTGAACACTGGGTGAGGGGGACACAAGTGTGTTGGGGCCCCAGGGAGACAGGGAGGGCTGAGCTCTCTTCTGGGGGTGTCTATGGCTGGCTATGGCCTAAGGCGCTACTCTGCTGGGTCTCAGCACCAGCTGGGAACACTGGGAAAGCTGAATCCCTGCTCCCCAAGAGGGCTGTCCAGTCCCCAACCCCCTGAGGTCTGAGCCAGGCTGGGCCAGTAGACAGATGGCCCAGAGGGATGGGTTTATTCAGTCCTTTATTGGTCATCTGGGCCCTAAAGCTGCCCCTCAACTTAGGGTCTCCATGAGCTGCACAGAAAGACCTGCCACTTAATGTGACCAGGAAGGGGACACAGAGGTGGTCCTTGTCCCAACATACACACCCCACCCTTCGGAGCTTATGTTCTGGCACCGAAACTCCGAGGGGCACAAACCGGTATCCTCAAGGTTTATATCTCGTCATTCTCCAGTTGTACAGCGTGAACCTCAAGCTCATCTGGGGTGTCCTTAGACTCCAGTGTTTCTCCCGGAAGCTCTTCTGCGTCCTTCCCAGTGTCCCTGGACTCTGCCTGTCCCCCCGCCTCCCCTCGGGGGCCTGGCGCTTTTCCTCCAGCCTCCTGCACGGGCTCCAGGGCCTCCCTTCTGGCCTCCACCTGCCCCCCAGCTTCTTCCCTGGGACTCGGGGCTTCCTGGGCTTCTTGCCTGGGCGGGCTTTTAGCTGACAGGGGTGGTCCGCCCAAATCTCGTGGCTCCAGGGGCTGCCTGTGCTCCCAGGACCTTGGGGCCTCTCCTGGAAAGTTGATGAGCTCTGCAGGCGTCATGAGTCCATCCTCGTTCAGGTCCTGGGTCTCGAGGACCTCGTCCACGACAAGGATCACCTGCGGAAGCACACAGTGGCTGTGGGGTCTGCAGTGACCAGAGGTGCTTCTGGGGGCCCTGGCCCTCCCAACAGCTCCTCGCCCCATCCCGGTCATGCAGGCTGTGAGCATTCCGGGGGGTTCACCCAGGGAGTCACGATGAAAAAGACCAAAGCCCCAGGGAGCTGGGTCTCCTTCATGGGAAAAGCGCCTCCATTCCCCAGGGCTTACCGGGTTGGTGGCAGGAGAGTCAGCAGCTCCAGGGGCCAGAGCGGCTGTCAGCATGGACAAGAGCTCCAGGCCGTCCAGCTGTCCACTCTGGTCGTAGTCATGGAGGGCAAAGAGGTAGAGCAGAACTAAGGAAAAGAAGCTGGATCAGAAGAGGCATCAGGGACAGGCGGAGGAGGCAGGAGGCAGCGGGGCGGCCCGAGGTCAGCCCCCGCTCTGGCTGCCCTGAGCTGCCCGTCCACGGGCCCCATCAGCCCAGCGCCTCACCCTGCTCCCGGTTCATGTGCTCCGGGTCCTCTTCCATCCTCTTTAGTCCCTTTAGGTAGCTCTGGAGAAGGCTGACAGAAAAGCAGAAAGTCAGCCCATGAGAGGCCAGTCTGCAGCCTGGAGCCTAGTCCTCAGGCCGCAGCCCAGCCTACTCACCGGAGCTGCTCCTGGCCCGGCTGGAAGGGGTTGGGCAGGGGCTGCTGCTGCACCTCGGGGTCCGGCCTGGAGGAGGGAGGGGGGACCAACTCGCAAAGAGGCTCCCTGGGGGCCCAGCTTACCAGTGTCCCACCCCCATGAGAGCCCTGCCTCCCAGGCCCTTGCGGGGAGGAGGCCCTTCTCGTCTCCTCGGAAGCAGAACCTCACTCCCTCAGGTTCTGTGTTTGCAGATTCCCAACTGAGCGGTAAGTGAAAACCCCCATAAAACACCTCATTAGATAGGGGCCGGATGAGGCCACACCCCTCGATACAAGTTGGAGATCCAAGAAAACAGTGCAGTCAGGGGCAGGGCAACACCGAATGAGGCAGCCTTTCTACTTAGAAGCTGGGGCCCAGGGGCAGCTGTCCAGCGGAGCTCAGTGGCCCCGCCCGCTTGAAAGAGAGCCAGTTTATACCACGACACAAACTGGACTCTTCTTTCTCCCAAGCCGAGAGCATATGTGTCGGCCTTGGAGTTTCGATCTGCTTGGGATCTCTTTGTCAGACTTTAAAGCTCCAGATTTGCTCTCAGTTCTGGGCAAGGCTACCTGTTTGCCCAAGTCAATCCAGCCCTGTGACACCAGCGAGCTGGCAAAAGCTGCTGCAGGAACTTTGGTCGCTGCTACCAGCCCTCGCTGTCCCTGTGTCTGTCCCCCACCGCACCCAGCATGTGCACTGCATAGGTACAAGAAAGGCAGTCAAAGACAGTGGAGATGATGTGCCAATGACCCCTATTTCCTTGGAGCTCCCATGCTTAGGTCTTGACAAGAGGACAGCAGCCCCTTCCCTGGCCCATAGCTTCTCCGCTGTGCTTCACACCTCACTGGAACTGAGCTCCTGGCTCCAAGTGCACCCAGCAAACCTGTGTTGCATGCCCACTTTGTGCGAGGTGTTCTAACAGGCTCGAGGCAGAGAGGAGCAGGGGGTGGGCAGGGATACAGCGGTTAGGGAGCACACGCTCCAGCCTGCCTCCCAGAGCGCCCACCACGGCCTCAGTTTCTCCAGAGACTCTCCTCATTCCCCGCCCGTGGCCCTGGGCCCTAACCACTGATTCCCATTACCTCGTGGTTCCATCCTTGGGAGCAGCCTGACTCAGGGGCAGCAGCAGCAGCACTAACAGTCTCATCGACAAAGGAAACATCCCTGGGACCGGAATAGGTAGCATCTTTCTTAGGAGCAGAATCAGGGAGTCAAGAGGGAGGGTGTCTGCCACAGAGTGGGGATCAGTGGGTCACACAGGAACGTCTTCTTTCCCTGCCTCCACCTGCAGTCCAGGCGATAGAACACAGGGACATCAGTGACCCCCCACGGAGCTCTGCTCAAAATAAATTTTACTCCAGATCCAGCATGAAGGCGCAGGGACCTGCTCTGGCGGAAGTGGTGCTGTGGGCAGGGGCCCTGCCCCACACCCTTTCCTCTTGCCCCGCACGCCCAAGGTGCTTGGACCGGTGAGGGGCAAGTGTGTCTGATATAGGTCCGTCCGCTCATTTTACAGACGGAAGCGAGCTCAGAGAGGTTAAGAAAAAGGCCGAATTGGAAGTGCAGAGAGTCACAAAGAGACCGACTTAAACAGAGAGACATGACTAACAAACATTGTTAGTTTGTATTTGTTAAAATCCCACCGAGGAACAAATCAAAAGAGGCTCGGACTCTTTGAAATAGGTCTAAACTCAGGTAGGAGATTGAAAACACACTAAACGGGTCAAACCAACAGTGGCCCAGGAACTGCTATTTACTAAGTACAAATAGGAAATCAGATTTCAGTATGAAGGAAAAAACAAAAACTTCCCCTTAGACCTACCCTGCGTAAGGCCCATTGGCAACACAGTACCTTGATTATATGAAAACAGTCAAACAGAGAGCTGCTCAGTCAAAAGCACAGAGCGTGCAGCTTTCTGATTAGTCCGTGTGTGTACAGACCATGGGAGTTCCTGAGGAAGCAGACACCCACCAAAGCTGAGGCTGAAACCCCACACCCATCTCTAGGTAGACAAATCACTGGGTGCTGGGTCTGGGCAGAGGATGAGGAGCCCTCTAACACAGCGCCTTACATGCTGGCTCGCACTGAATTTTCCTGGAGAAAAGTCCATAGATTCTCAAAGAGTTCCACGGTCCTGACAATGTTCAGAACCACTGCAAGGGTGGACATCAGCTTTCTAAGAGATGCGGAAGAGCAGCGAGCATCTGGTTGACAGGAAGATACATGTAAGAACCTGGCTGTCTCTGTGCCAGCAGAGCTGCCCAGAGGAGGCAGCAGCAAAACACAAAGTCCCCCCCCGAAAGTGCAGCTACTGAGAGTCCTGGAAACAGTTTTCAGTTTTCTATGCATTCGTTGACCCCAAAGGATATAATGAGTCTGCACAGTTGGTCCACAATCCCCAGAGGCTAAATGGGTGCAGAAGCCACAGCTGCCCTAAAGGGGTTCACAAACATTGGCTGGAAACACAGGTCCTTGTGCTTTAGTTGTAGCACCCAGGAGAGGAGACAAGGTCTTGGGTCCATGCAAGGGAGGCTGCTGGAACTGAGATCTCCATAGTAACCAGGGACCCTCAGCGGTCCCACCACGGTGGACACCCTTCAGTAAAAGAAGGGACTAGAAAAACATCCACGCCTCCATGTCTGGGAGTATGCCAATGAAAGTAACACCAGAGCGGGATAAAAATAGAAAATATCTTTTCAGATGCAATGAGCTGGCAAGAAAATAAGAAATTCTCAGTACAAAACCACAGTGAAGCCAGTAATCCCAAGGAAAAGTCAGCATGAATTCGGCTTTTGCCTCAAGAGCGTCTAGCAAACCAAACCCCAGGGAATGTGGAGCTATCAGTTTGAGTGCTCTGTGCAGCGGAGGAGGCTGGAGAGAAAGCCTGGACGCAGCAGTGTGAGGAGACTAACAGGAGATTATGGACATGAAGCTGGGATTCGAACAGCTCACATTTCAACCTAAGGGGGAACAAAAAGTAAATTTACCTTGAAGAAGGACAACACAGAGTCATGCTTATTTTGACTTTGGTGCTGGGTAGAAAAGAGAAAAATATCTTCCCTGAGAATTTGTAATAAGCCTGCTCAAATGTGAGTTCGAGGCCAACTTAATGCTACTTCTATGACTGAAGAACCTGGAGCAGGTCATTTATTTTGAAGTGGTACCTGGTTGGTAGTACCCCCAGCTGACTGACAGAAGAAAATGTACTACTTGTTTGAAGGAACACAGCTCCAATCCAGGGCTCAAAGAAGATCCATAGGTAAAGTTTCAGGGAGCATGAACTCATGGCCAAAAGTGATAAACATACAAGGAAATAAGACACTGTGAATGAGAGCCAGCTAAACAAGAGCAGGCAAAACAAGACTTGTAAAGACTAAAGATAGTGCTGTTTTTTTAAATTTGTTGATTTTAGAGAAAGAACGTGCACAAGAGAGAAAGAGAAACATCTATTTATTGTTCCACTTATTTGTGCATTCACCAGTTGCTTCTTGTATGTGCCCTGACATGGGACAAAGACTAAAGATATTGTAATTATCACACGCAGAATATGAAGAATATTTAATATGTTTTAAGAAATTAAAGAGAAGCTTTAAACTATGAGAAAGAAATAAAAGCATAAGAACAACCAGTAGATCTGAAGATGAACCAAATATAACATACAAATATAAAGATTGATTTTAAAAATACAATGAGTGGGTTAAACAGATGATGTGAGAATTAAGGAACTGGAAAATATATCTGAATAAATTACCCAGAATACAGTTTGTGGGGAAGGGACAAAATCTCCTCCACCCTCTAGGTTCTTCTAGCTGGTCTAATAATCAAGTAGACATGAGACAGACTGACAAAGGAAAATAACCAAATTTAATATATACAGCCCTGGCGGGTGTGGCTGGTGTGGCGCAGTGGATTGAGAGTTGACCTGAGAACCAAAATGTCCCAGGTTTGATTCCCAGTCAGGGCACATGCCTGGGTTGCGGGCCAGGCCCCCAGTTGGGGATGTGGGAGAGGCAACTATATCTCTTTCATATCCATGTTTCTCTCTCTTTCTTTCTTCCTCCCTTCCTCTCTCTCTAAAAATAAATAAATAAAAATCTTTAAAACACACACACACACACACACACACGTATGGGAACTCCACATACATGAGAGAGTCAGAGACCCAACACAGAAGGGAGGTTCAGAGATGGAAAGGGAGATGAGGCGTAGAAGACGTTCTGCACTAGGGAAGAGGTAGTACACCTTGGGGGGTTTAAGGGGGCATTGCAAGGTAAGAAGAGCAGATGATTAGTAAGGAGAAGTTTGCCCTGCCCTACAGATAGGTCAAAAGAGGCTGTCTCTGATACTACTGCACTGTGAGGAAGGCCCCTAATTCAAATACTTCCAGGTAGTCAAGGGAGGCCAGAAGTCTCTCCTGAGCTGCCGCTAACATTGCCCTTAGCTCAAATCAATCTGCATACCACAGAAGTGACTGGCTCTGAACCTCCGCAGGGCCACTGAGTCAAAGACACACAAAATATTTTTTAAAGGTTATGTGGCATAGAGGATGGAGGGGATAATAGAGAAAACTGGATAGAAGCAGTATTTGAAGAAATAATAGTTGAGATTTTCCCCGTATGTTGCAAAAATACTGATATTCCAATCCAGGAAGCCCCGCAGTCCCAGGCAGATTAAATAAACAGAAATACATACCTAGAGTTTTGTGAAACCAGAGAACACCAAGAAAAAGAGGTGGTCTTAAAAGCAGTCAAGAAAGACAAGTCACTGAAAAAAGAAGAGTAATTAGATTTCCAGCTGAATTTTCCAACAGTAATAGTGATACCAGAATATGCTAGTACAGTATTTTAATTTGTTGGGGTTGGGGGCAGGGGAACTGCCATTCTAGAATTCTGTTTTCAGCAAAATTATCATTCAGGAGTTAGGAGAAACAAAAACAATTTTAGATAAACAAATTAGAGGATGTGTCACCACTTCTTCATTAAAAAAAATTATGGTGGGGGAGGGAAATATAAAGGGCTAAATGGTAATGGAAAAAATACAATAAAAATTTTTTAAAAATAAAATTATTGCGAATCCTTAAAAAAATTCTACGGGATCTATTTCAGGAAAAAGAAAAATGATCCTATTTGGGTCCCAAACTATAATAATTATGTTAACATATGAGGCAAAAAAGGTGGATTGCACTACAATATTAGACTGCAATAAGATATAAGGTGACGATGGTTGTTTGGGAAGAGAATAAACATACAAACAACTTTGTTAAATATGCATGTAAAAATTTTAAGGAAAACCACTGACAAAATAGAAATGGAATACATGACCTCAAACTAGCACATAATAAAATGAATGGAATTCTTTAAAAAATTAGTTGAGCCCTGGCTGATGTGGTTCAGCGGATTGAGTGCCAGACTGTGAAGCAAAGGGTCGCTGGTTCAATTCCCAGTCAGGGCATATGCCTGGATTGCGGGCCAGGTCCCCAGTGGAGGGCGTGCAAGAGGCAACCACACATTGATGTTTCTCTCCCTCTCCCCTTCCCTTTCCCTCTCTCTAAAAATAAGTAAAATAAAATCTTAAAAAGAAAAAATAGATAAGTTGGACCTAATCAAAACTAAAAAAACTTTAAAAAAAAATCAATTGAAAAGAAGTCAGGAAAAGAGAAAAAAACTTTAAAAAATAAAATAAAAAGAAAGACAAATAGAAACCATAAAATAATGTGGTAAATAGATTCAAATATATCAGTAATCATAATAAATATAAATTGTATAAACTCAATAGGAAATAAAGATCATCAAAGTGTATATAAAACAAAATACAGTTATAGGAAATTTCCAAGAGACTAACATAAAACATAAAAACTCAGAAAGGTTGAAAAAAGAAAAGGAAAAAGGATATATAAAGCAGTACTAGACAGAGAGACCTGTTGTAGATTTAATGACATTATTGGACTAGAATTTAAGAAGAAAAGTTTTGTATAGATAAGAGTATCAATACAAAGTGCAAAAAGTTTAATCCTCTAGGAAGATATAATTCTGAACTTGTATATCTAATAACAGGATCAAAGTATCTGTCATAACACTATATAACTATTGGAATGGCCAAAATCCAGGACACTGACAATACCAAATGCTAGCAAGGATGTGGGAAAACAGAAACTCTCATTCATTGCTGGTGGGAATGCAAAATGGTACTTCCACTTTGGAAGCCACTTAGGTGTTGTACAAAACTAAACATATTTTTACTGTGTAACCCAGGAATCGTGCTCCTTGGTATTTACACAAAGAGTTGAAAACTTAAGTCTACACAAAAACATGCACATAGATATTTATAGCAGATTTATTTATAATTACCGAAACTTGGAAGCAACCAAGATGTCCTTCAATAGGTGGATGAATAAATAAACTGGTATATCCATGACAATAGAATATCATTCAGCACTGAAAAGAAATGATCTATCAAGCCAAGAAAAGACATGGATGAACTTTAAATGCCAATCTTACGCACTGTATGATTCTAACTATATGACATTTGGAAAAAGGCAAAGCTAGGGAGACAGTAAAAAGATCAGTGGTTGCTAGGGGTTGGGGGCGGAAGGGATGACTAGGTGGAGCACAGATTTTGAGGGCAGTGAAAAGACTGTATCACACTATAATGATGACTACAGGTCGTTATACATTTGTCCAAACCCACAGAACATACAACACCAAAAGTGAATGCTAAGGTAAACTATGGACTTTGGGTGATTACAGTCAGGGCAGGTTCACCAGGTCCTTGTGTACCCCTGTGGTGGGGATGAGGATAATGGGGGAAGTTATGCCTGTGAGGGCGCAGGGTGTAAGTAGGAAATCTCTGTACCTTTCTCTCAACTTTGCTGTGAACCTAAAAACTTCCCTAAGGAAAAATAAAGCCTTAAAAAAAAACCCTGGCATAACTACAGGGAGAAAAATCTAAGCAGCCAGTATGGTGGGAGAGTTTAACATATCTCATTCTTTAACTGAAAGATTAAGCAGACTAAAAATTAGTAAGAATGCAGAAGATTGAATAAAATATTCAATAACCCTGAGCTAATGGGTGGATAGAGAACCCCACTTCAATCACTTACCAAATACATATTCTTCTCAACATGTGGAATATTTATAAAAACTGACAAGTAGTATGCCGGAGGTATAGATCACTGAATATCAAAGAATCAGTCTTATACTATGTTATATAACTAAAATGCAATATTATTAGAAATCAACAAGAATGGTGTGAAAAAATCTCATATATATGGAAATTTAAAAGATACGTTTCCATATGTATCAAAGAAGATAATGGAACTTGTTATATACTTAGAATTGGATAATATTGGGAAAATATGCATCAAAACAAGACATATAGCTAGAGCAATACTGGAGGGAAAATGGATTGACTTAAAAGCTTATAATACAAGAAATCTAAAGTTCATGAGCTAAGCATTCCACTCAATAAGGTCGTAAAACAGAATAAACTTAAAGAAATTAAAAGGAAATTATAAAAGATAGCAGAAATGAAATTACAATAGAGAGGAGTAACAAAGCCAAACAATGATATTTCTTTAAAAGGACTAATAAAATAGAGAAACTTCTGACAATTTTCATTAAGAACAAAGTAAAAAGGCACAATAAACAATATTAGGAATGAAAATGGGGACATGACTACAGAAACAGAAGAAATTTGAACACTCAGTAGATACAACCAATTTCCTAGAAAAACCTAAAAGCAAAACTGATGCAAAAACAGCAAAATTTAATAGTCTGATAATCATGAAAGAAATGAGAGAATCAGTATTAACCTCTATTGTATGGGGAATTATAAATCATAACTGTTTCTAGAGAGCAATCTGCAAAAGTATATTAATTGCTGCGAAACTGATCCAACAATATCATCCTGGGAATTACATAAAGAAGAATATAAATGAAAAAAGTTAGTTATAAAAGTATTCAGAGCTATGTTATTAATATTCATCAAAGAAATGTAAACAACTTGGAGGACCATTTAGGCAATGGCTAAGCAAATCATATTCTATGACAGAGCCACTAAACATGGTAAGATTTTCAAACTCAATGTTTTAAAGGAAAAATAGACAGATTTGAGCATGTCAAAGGTTTAAACTTCTCTATCATGAAGGATACCATAAATCAAGTTCAAGGAGGCAAATGATAGAGGACTAGAGGAAATGCATCTAGGCCTCAAGGCTACCTGGCTTCTCAGTGGGAGGAGCTCACCACCACCTGGGCCTCAGCAGAGTCTCGGAGACAGAATCTCCATAGAAACCCCAAGGAGACTGGGTGGAAATCCAAGAACTGCATATACATGCCTAATTCAGGAGGGTTACGGAGGAGGCCCTGCCCGTAGAGTGACTGTGTGGTCAGGAACCAATGGCTGAAGGAGGGTCTAGGTGAATGGCCACCTCACCCTGTGCTTTGCATTCAGTGCTACTGGTTTGGGGGGCGGGGGGCAGGGTGCGGGGGTCAGCTGAGGACTCCAGACTCCAAGGTGGAAGGGGGGACACATAATGGCTGAGAGGGCCAACTGGCCAAAAGGAGAATGCCAAGCAGTACGGACCATGGAACTGGATGCCACAGAGGACACCATGGGAAGCACCAGCAGAAGTCAAGGACTTTGGTGGCAAAGATCAGGAGGGTGAACATCCATAGGGAAGGAAAGTGTAAATATAAGTTTGTAGAATAAGGATAAACGGTATTCATTTCTCTAATATTTATGAAGCACCTACTATATGTGAGGCACAATCCTATAAATTAATATAAAGTAGAATTACTTTTTCCCTTAAAGCTTGCAAATGCAAAAATAGGAAAAGATACAAATGTTAAAACAATGATTAAGAGGATGACAGAAAAACACAGACTTGCTAAGGAATAGGTGGCATAGTCCAAGAGTTTGGGTCCCAACCTGGAAGGCTGCCTAACTTCAAATCATGGCTCTGCAAATCACTAGCTGTGACTTCTATGTTCCAGGCTCTCCACCGGAAACACAGACCTCTCATGGGGCGTGGTCAGGTTCAATGAGACAAGATACGAAAAACAGAATGCCTGGCCTTTTTCCTTCCAGAAGCTTTCTTAGACTGCTAGGCAGTGGCCTCACACGGACCCACCACCCTGGTCTCCCCACCTGAAGACTCACCATTTGCTTTCTCGGCCCCATCTGTTTACTGTCAGGACCTAGGCCAACAGGAGGCACTGGAGTAATTTAAATCCCTCAGAGCTGTCAAAACCTATTACTCGGGCTTCATATATCATCCACCATCAGTTGTCTTCTAACAGAGGACAAACACTACCTCTTGTGGTAGCAGTTCAGGCATTGAGGGGAAGCATCCATCGGATCTCACCAACCTACTCACTCATGAAGCCAACGGAGCCGGTTTGAAAAGCATCCCTACAAATCCTTCCACACTCCGCCCCACGAAAGCTCAAGTCTAATTCACCTTTCCTTGTATATGAGCTGGACCTAACGACGCACTTCTAATAAACAGTTGAAACTATGCTGTGTGACTTCCAAGTCATTTATGAAAGGCAACATGGCAGTTTCTAGCTCACAGGGGCATGGGGAGGATGCCGCGGGGTAATGCAGATTAAATGGCTGGCAGCGAGCAGGTGCTCTTTGAGCAGTTCAGAGACTCTAGGATGTGGCAGGGCCTTTTATCTTGCGTTGACCAGCCCATCCAGTGGAAAAAATTTCCTCCACAGCATCCCTATCAATGGCCATTAAGCCTCCTCTTGACTTTCCAGGACGGGAGCCTAGCACCTCGCGGGGCATCCACGCCGTGGCTGGCTAAACCTGGAAGGAAGTTACCTGGACCTGAATCTCCTCCCTTAACCCATTTCTCTGGGGTCTCCCGAGCCTCCCAGCACCACCCGCACCCGCACCTCCCAACCCCCACCTCCCGCCCAAGAGAACAGTGACTATACAGCCAAAGGGACCCCGCGCCTGAGAGCAGCCTCCATCCTGCCGCTTTCAGCTGGGCCATAATCTCGGCCTCTCCGTCCCCCTTCTCCTCATCTGTCAAGTGAGGATGAAGCTCCTGCCAGCCCCCTCTATGCCGCGCTGCCAGCGCGACCACCGAGACCAACGGAGGGAAAGCCCTTGGAGGACTGCGAAGCCTTGTCGTCCCACAGCGGGAGCCCGGGCTCGCCGTTCCTCGCAGGGGGCGTGAGGGCCTCCGCGGCGGCCGCGTCCGAGCGAGCGAGCGAGCCGCAGGGGATGCAGCGCGACCGCGCCTGCAGCGTCCGGACCGGGAGGCCGTGAGGCCGCCTCGGCCCCGCGGCCCCGCCCCCCGCGCGGCGCGGCGCGGCGCGCTGAGGGTCCCCGGGCGGATGCCCACCGCCCGCCGGCCGGGGCGGGGCTCGCACCCACCTGCGGCAGCGAGGCGAGGCTCCGGCTGGGGGCGGCTGCGGCGTCGCTCGGGGCTGTGCGCCAGGCTCCTCGCCGCCCTGCCCTCCCCAAGGCAGTTGGCCCTCCACGTGGCCGCTCCACGTCGCCCTCCCGGCTGCAGCCGCCGCCCTGCCCCTGGCCCGGGCAGAGTCCTGGGCGCCAGCCCGAGGGCAGGGCAGCCGCCCCGCCCTGACCCGCCGAACCCGGGAACCCGGCCCTCCGCAGCCTCCACCCGTCTTCCTCCCCGTGTCCCTGCGAGTGAGTGAGTGAGTGAGTGAATGAGTGAGTGAGTGTCTGAGACACAGACTGACAACCAGATAGACAGAGAGACAACGAGGCAGGTGGTGAGGCTGCTGTGTATGAGAAGCATGTTCAGCTGCGGTGGTGCTGTGGGTGCCACTGCCTGCAGGGACCCAGCTGTGTGTGACAAGAGAGAATACAACTTACTGTTAATGTGTGCGACGGTGACTGGGGTATGTGGCTGTGTGCCTGGGGAACTTCTGATGGAGTACGCAGTATTTTGTGTGACTGTGTGTCCAGGGTGACAGCTGGGCTTGCAAGAGTATGGCCAATGTGCGACTGACTGGTGTGTGACCGTACTGCAGGACGCTAGTGCTCTGTGTGTTAGGGTATCTGGGTGAACTCTTCCTGAGTTGTTCAGAAGTGACAGCTGTGACTGCTGGTTTCCAGTGACATGTCATTGTGTGATGCGACTGCACATTATTGAGAAGTGACTCCACATGAGACATGGAGGGGGGTAGGTCTGGGAACAGTATCATCTTGAGGGTGATGGTGGCAGTTGTTTGCCAGCACAGAGTGTTACAGAGTGTGGCTGTAGCCCTGTGGTCAAAATGGAATGTCCTACTTTTGTCACAGTGGCCACCACCAAGGCTCCAGGCTACTTCCTACCTCCTCATCCCCTGGCCCAAGGACTTAGTTCTTCTTCTCCTTCCTTTCTGATAGATTTGCAAGAGAGAGAGGGAAACATCAGTTTGTTGTTCCACCTATCCATGCGTTCATTGGTGGATTCCTGCATGTGTCCTGACCCATCGAAACCTTGGTGTATCCAGAGGATGATCTAACCACCTGAGCTACCCAGCCAGGGCAGGACTGACTTCTTTGAATAAATGACTTCTTATCTCTCTGGAATCTTCATCTTCTCCCCCTCATTCAGCTGCTTCCCATCAGCATCTGTCATAACAAACCTGCTCCTACCAAAGTCATCCTGTTCTCTTTCCTGGGGGGGACACTGATGGACACTACGTCCTTGTATCACAGTATTCACTGGTTTCAGCAACACCATTTCTCTCTCTATGGTCATTTCTTCTTAGTTTTCTTCATGCTTCAGAAATTCTCTGGGCTGTTTCCTCACTCCCCATCCGTTCATGTGTTCTTCTGTCCATGTAGTTTCTGTCACTCTGTATTACGGGTTGAATTGCATCCTCAAATGTATATGTTTAAGTCCTAAGCCCTAATACCTCAGAATGTAATCTTGGGAAGCAGAGTCACTACAGATAAAATGAGTAAAGATAACATGATACTGGAGTAGAGTGGGTTCCTAATTTAATATGGCTGGTACCCATATACAATTGTGGACATGGACACACACACACACGGAGAACAGCATGAGAAGATGCAGGCAGAGATCAGGCCAAGATTCTACATGTGAAGGAAGTCCAAAGACTGTCAGAAAACCACCAGAAACTAGCAGAGGCATGGGACAGATTCTCCCTCACGGCTCTCAGAAGGGACCGAACCTGCTGCCACCTTGATCTTGGACTTCTAGTATCCAGAACTATAAGATAATAAAGTTCTGTTGTTTAAGACACTCAGTTTGTGGTACTTTGTTATGGCAACCCTGCAAATTAATATATTATCTAAGTGCTGACTACCAAATCTCAAATTCCAGTCTCTAAGCCCCAGACCACATCAGAAATTGAACAGCCTACTGATTTGTGCCTGAATCTTAATTTATTAAGGTAACTCAGTGACAACATGGAGAGGTCAGTGCCATTGAAAGAAAAGTTTAATGTTATAGTTCCTCTAGAAATGAAAGGCATAGCTTGCCCACAAGACCACAGTGAGTAACACCAGTGTAGGTCAGAAGGCAGAAAGAAGCAAGGATAAGATGTAGGTCACAGCCTTTATTAAGTGAAAAAGGCAAAGCAGGGCAGGCTAAACACCTTTGGATTGGCTAGTTTGAATATCTCTGGTGGACTTTGGAAGAAAGGGGCTGCCTAGCTGTCTGGAAGCTGGCCCTGTGTCAATTTTGAAGAGGGGAAATATTGGCTTAGTGCATGTGAGTTGGATGAAGGAAGTGGCTCAGAGTTGGGCTCTGGGTAGCAGGGAAGACATAAACAACTTTGGCCATTAGTTTCGCTTTGAGGTAAAGGATGCCAAACAGACAAATATAGAATCTAAGAAAACACAATTAGAACACCTATTAGCACCCCAGCCTCTATGCATCTGAGCCAGAATGTATCTCCCTATTCCTCAACCTTCCCCTCCCCCAGCTTCCCTATCCCAGAAACAGGCACTACCATGCACCCCTGAATCAAAGCAGTCATAAACCTGGGGGTCATCCATGACTCCCCACACCTCCTACCAACTACTAAATCAGCTGTCTACCTTGAGGATCTTCACATCTCTGCCAGTCCAGGCAGCCACCATCCTGCTGAAGTTCTGTTAACAGCTTCCAAATTGGCCTCTCTGCTTCCATTCTCATTCTCCTCCCATCCATTCTCAAAGTAGCCTGAATGATTCTTCTAAAACAACTCTGGCCCTGGCTGATGTGACTCAATGGCTTGCGCGCCGGCCTGCAAACCAAAAGGTCATCAGTTTGATTCTCGGTCAGGGCACATGCCCACATTGCGGGTCAGGTCCCTGGTTGGAGTGCGAGAGGCAACCAATCGATGTAGCTCTCACACGTCAATGTTTCCCTCCCTCTTTCTCTTTTCCCCTCTGTTTCAAAATAAATAAATAAATATTTTTTTAAAAAAAACAACACAAAACCTCTGATCATGTTGCCCACCCCTTCATAAAACTCTCATAGCTTTTCTCTACTCTTAGGAAAAACTCTAACACCCTTATGTAGCTGCTCACAATCTGGTTCTTGACCATCCTGTGTGCCCCAGACACATCAAATTTTTTGTTTCCTTTAAGAAGTCTCTCACATCCAGGCTTTTATTCAGGCTGTTTCCTCTCTTGGAACAACTACTCTCTGCCTGCCTCTCCCTTGCCTGGGAAACTCCTACTCACTTTTTGGTTTCACCTTAAATATATTGTCATTTACTTTTTGGCACACTTTCTCTGATCCCATGGTGTTCAGGGACCCCCCTCAATGCTCCCCCCGCAGGGAGGCCTTCCCTTACCCAGCACCACACCCTACTGCAGGGGTTCAACCCTGACTCATCCTCGAACCTTCCAGAGAGATTTTAAGTTATGCTGGTACCTCCTCTCTGCTCCAAGCCAACTCTATCAGCCTTGGGGCCTGGGCACTGCTAGTTTCTAGAGCTCCCAGATGATTCTGATCTTCAGTCAAGGCTGCTCTGGTGGATGACTTGTTTCCACCCACCAGTGAGGACCGGGCGGCAGCCCTGGGGTATCCCAAGTGCCTGGTACAGAGTGGGTGAGGAGTAAATATCTGTTGTACTTACTTGACAGCGATTACGTCATACAGAGAGTGACACAGTGCGAGCGACTTTAACTCATGTGCGTGAGACTATGTGTAAGCCACCCACTCAAGTAGCCAAAACCTTATTATGAGACTACGGAGTGTTACAGTGCAACTGATTGTGTCCAGTGTGAGAACCACTGTGAAGGGTGTCAGTCACCACGGGAACTGGCCATGTCGTGAGAGTAAAGGTCACTGTGAATGGCTGTACTCTGTGTGACAGGGCAGAATGTCACCCTGGAGCGGCTGTGTCCTGTGTATGACGGCCTGAGTGGCTGGGGGACTGTGACCTGGCTGCCTGACTCGCCGTCGCCAGTGCAGAGTTTGAGGAAGGGGTTGGAGGTGCCCCTCACCAAGATGGCGGCTGTAGGGGCGACCGCCAGTCCTTCCAAGGACCTGCCCTGCTTGTGACCGTGAAGCGGAAGCAGGAGGCGGGGAGGCGCAGCGCGGAAGCCATTTGCAGATCACTCGGTTTGGCGGCTGGGGCGCCAGACGCTGCACCCCGAACCCCACGCCGTCCTAGCGCTGTCTCTTAGGGCGCACAGGCGGCGGACCGGTCACGGTCACCGAACCTCACCCGCCCCTCGGCAGCGGAGGCGGGACCTACACGGGCCGCCCAATAGCTTGTAACAGGTAGGATCCGGCACGCACCTGCAGACCCACAAGTCAAAGTGAAGATCCTGGAGCCAGTCAAGAACTTCGGAGTGGAAACCCAGCAACACTATGCTGAGCTTCTCTCCGAGCCCCCAGCATGGCATCTGGACAGAGCTCTTCTTTCTGCTTTTGAGTCTTGGCGCTGCCCTCTACTTGGGCTACTACTGGGCATGTGTGCCCCAGGTGGGTGCGGGTCCAGAGCTCTGGCCGGTGGGTTGGGGGCACTCGGGTCTAGGTGGCAGCTTCCAGCCGGGAGCTCAAGCCTTTTTCGGAAGCTGGCATGGTTGAGCCTCCCGTCCCAGGTGAAACTGGACGCTCCAACCCTACAAACCCTCGGACCCTGCGCTCCAGCCAGGTTTCGCTTTGCTTACCGCCTTACAGAGTCATTTCTTTGCCGGCCTAAATCCTCTGCATCTCTCATGCTTCCCATGCCATCTGGGCCTTGCAGGCATTAGAGGGGTGCCACTCCTCATGGCATGCACAGACATTTGAGGAAAGGCAAGTGGAAGTCATCCTGAGGTCACAGGGAGATGTGCACACTACCTTTCCTTTTCTTTTCAGGAGTCTAGCTAAGTTTCTCATTAGCTGCATTGAATGAAGAACCCTGAGGCCCCCAGGGTTGGGGGAAACTCCCAGCACCACCCCAACAGATAGGAGGGCCTTGCTTCTCCTCAGGGCTGGTGGAGGCTCTCTTTGTGGCTCGGGATTAATGGATAACCCTAACTGCCCTTGCTCATTCCGCCTTGTTTTAAGGTCTAGGCTGTCCGGGTATGGTGCAGTTAGAAAGTCTGAAGAGGTTGATTTTGAGGAACTTGGAGATTATATTCTCACTGAAATTTAGATTAAATACATAATTTACATATTCAGGAAAATCTAAATCTTTTTATCCTCATTAAATTCTGTTCCAAGTAACTGAGCCTAACAAGAAATCTATTGATTCAAGCCCTTGAAAAAGATCAAAAGGCAATTTTAATGTTACCTAGACTTTCCTGCATTTTCAGAGCTTTCAACATTCACATGTATTTTTTTGTAAAATAAGTCTGCCTTAATAAAACAACTTAAAAAGCCTAAACCTCACAAATACCCTATAAATCCTTACTTTATATAGTGTCTGATTTAGAAAGTCACCCATTTCAGACCTTAATTTAAACATTTTCCTTTGCAACAAGCCACACAGAAGTCAGAGACCTCTGCCGCTTCACACTCCAAACCCTTCCTTGGCTTTCACATACTGGTTAAAATGTGGGGAAAGTGTCACTCTGGAGGCCCTGAAGATATGGCCTTTGGACTGTCCAACATGGTAATGGATGGGTATTGATTGATCCTTAATTCTCAGGAATGAGTCAAGAAATACTTCACTATAGTTAAAATGAAACTAACCCACATAAATCAAACCTGTCACCTAATTTATTAGCCCTTTATTCTACACTACTGAGCTGTTTGACCAAGGACTTAATAAATTGTTAACAACTCAAAATCTTGGTGATTAGGAAGTAATACAATACAGTGGCTAAGAGCACAAGTTCTAGAGTTGAACAGACATGGGTTCGAATCCCAGCTGCCCCACTAACTAGCTTTGGCAAACTTCATAGCCTTTGACAAGTTATTTGCCTTTCAAACCTGTATCCACAGAGGGATCACATTACCTATCTCAAAAAGCTGTTATGAAGCTCATAGGACATTATTATGTGAAATGCTTAGCACAATACTCGGAGCATAATGAGCACTGAACAAATTTTACCTACTAGTATTAGTGGTAATATAAATATTATTAATTCTCCTTTGCCTCTTGTCTGCTGTGTGATTTTGGGAAGCAACTTAATCTCTGTGGGACATAGTTTCTTCACTTATAAAACATCCTGACAAGGTTGAACTTAGCCTGGTGCCTGCATATAGCACACAGTGAATCACAGGTGTTAGTATTCCAGGGCTTGAGGACCAGGGTTCGAGCCATACCTCACAGCAGCCGCACTATCAGCCTGGCCTCTCTAGTTCATTATTTACCTAGCCCCCTTTGAGTACCAAGGCTGAAGAGATAAGAATCTGGTCTTCAGGTTCCTTTGGTCTTGCAAGAGAAATACAATTTCTATTTCTCAAGTCTGAAGTCTTTCGGCTTTGCAGAGTATACCCTCCTTCATCAGCCTGCTCTGTGGCCTACCCAGAAGGGTCCGCAACAGGGGTTGGCAGTCAGGGCTGAGTGCCCGCTCACTTCACTGTCCCTGGTATTAATCCCTGTTATCTCCTTCCTGGCTGGCATAAAGGAAGAGAAAAATCTATTCACATGGGGACTATTCCTCCTTCAGAGTATGGCCTAAGAGCAAGGGCCTGAGAGAGAAAATGAGGTCCTGTGGGAGGAAGACACCCGTCTGCAGAGAGCACACCCAGCTGGGAATAGGAATATGCAACACTGGGCTGCTAAAATCAGGAGGAGCCAGTGGCCAGAGCTAGCTTTAGGACAGCGTAGAAAGTTCAACTGGGAGGCAAAGGTCACAGAGTAAACGGTGCTGCATTTCCTCAGCTTCTGTCTGGGATCCCAGCCTTTCCTGCCAGGATCAGCTGGGCAATTTATCTGCATTCCCTGCTCTCTCCAAAGTGGAGGCGAGGCATGGATAGGCTCAGGAGAGAGTCGGCACCCAGCCAGCTGCAGCAGTTCCCAGCCCGGGTTCTGAGTCGGTGCAGGGTCAGTTCTAGAGAGGTGACACTCCAGAACTGCAGTCCTTTTGGCCTCCGCTGGCCTGTGGTAAAAGAGGTAACTAGTGGCCCTTCCCGACTGAGGTGTGCTAGGGTCTCACTCCCAGCAGCAGTGCCCTCCAGGCTGACCTCTGGAGAGGGGTCACTGGTGTCAAGTGCCTCACTGGGTTGGCACAAAAATCCGGAGTGAGGCAGACTGTGTTATGGTTACAGAGACCTCAACTGGTGACTGGATCCCGGTTTCTGGCCTTCCTGAAACAACACTGCCCAATCACTGTGGAGACTTTCTACCCAACGCTGTGGTGTTTTGAGGGGCGGCTACAAACCATCTTCAGAGTCTTACTGCAGCCTCGGCCTCTAGTCTCTTACTGGAGGTAAGAAGGGTCAGGAGGGGGTGAACACCAAGCTGCAAGTAAAGGTGAATCCTCTCTCTCTTTTAAAATGAAGGTAATCTTTGCTCCCATGTACCTCACAGTGTGTTGAGGGTGAGGGTGGCCGTATGGAAGGCTACTTAATTGCACGACCATGAGGTAATATTTAACTTGTTATGTCCCCTTTACAGTTACAGTCTTGATTTGCGTAACGTGCGCCCTCAAATGATGCCAATGGGAAGTTGTTGGAGTTGCTCTGGGGGAGCAGGGGTAAACCTCTTGCAGTACATGGAGTTCTTAATGGCATCTTTGTGCACCCTTTTCTCCAAAACCACAGTGAGGTCCTCCAAACCCCAGATGGAGGACAGCTCCTGCTAGACTGGGCTGGCCAGCATGACAGCAGTCGATACCCAGACCCTGCCACCCAGCCCATTGTATTACTGCTTCCTGGTATCATGGGCAGTAGCCAGGAGACATACATCTTGCACCTGGTTGACCAAGCCTTGAGGGACGGCTATAGGTAAGGATGGGCTCAACCCAGAGGTGGGTGGTATAGAGCTTGTCATAGGGAGGTCAGTTTAGATTCTGACAGCTACGGGGAGGTGGTGTTAAATGAGACACCTTTTGACAGGGCTCTTTCTGAAGGCTGCCAAGGGGAGGGGCTTTGGGGGAGGGTCTGGCTAAGATGTGCCTGTGCCACAGGGCTGTTGTTTTCAATAACCGGGGCTGCCGTGGGGAAGAACTGCTGGTAAGTCCCCTCCTTCCTCCTAACAGCTCTTCCCCCCTCTCCCTGGAGAGATCCTTGGCCCTGGGCCTCTGCTTACCTATCCTCCCATTTCCGCCTTCTGGCCAGGGCTTCCCTCACTACCCAATGATCTGGTTTGCCTCAGACCCACAGGGCCTTTTGTGCCAGCAATACTGAAGATCTGGAAACAGTCGTGAATCACATAAAGCACCGCTACTCCCAAGCTCCACTGCTGGCTGTGGGCATCTCTCTTGGAGGGTAAAGGCTGCCTGGGCTTCACCCAGAGGCCCAGTCTCCCTTTGTTCCCTCCTCCATGTCTTCTCCCCATCTCCTCTGTTCCTACTCACTAATGCAACCCTTCTTTCATGGGTCCCTGGTCTGATCCTGAAGGATATTAGTGCTGAACCACCTGGCACGGATGGGACAGGCTGCAGGGCTGGTGGCAGCACTGACTCTATCTGCATGCTGGGATTCCTATGAGACCACCCGCTCCCTGGAGACCCCACTCAACTCACTGCTCTTTAATCAGCGCCTCACTGCGGGGCTCTGCCAAGTTGTGGACCGGTAAGGTCTTGGCAAGTGGGATGGGGCAGCAGACTGGGTGGGATGGCAGACGTGCCTGGCTCTCCCAGTGCTCGGGTCACTTCTGTATCTGGGCTTTCTCGCTCGTAAAATGAGACAGAGGCTGCGGGCTCTGAGTCAGGTCCGGAGTACGGCCAAACCCGTGCTCTCTTTTGCAGAAATAGAAAGGTGATGAAAAAGGTGGTTGATGTAGACTTTGTGCTACAGGTATAGTCTTTCAACCATCTCCCCTCCACCCAACTATTCTTTCAATACCCTCCTATTCCCCGTCCTTATCCTAGCCCATCCCACCCTCTGCCACCACAGGCCCGCACAATCCGCCAATTTGATGAGCGCTATACAGCTGTGGCCTTTGGATATAAAGACTGTGTTACCTACTATCAGGCAGCAAGCCCAAGAACTAAAGTAGATGCCATCCAGATACCTGTGCTCTGCCTCAATGCAGCTGATGACCCCTTCTCCCCCGCTAATGGTGAGCATGCTGAATCCTGAGGCTTTAGGCTCCGAGGACGATGAGCCAGGAGGTGCAGGTGGAGAGAGCCTGGGTTCTCAGTAGAGGCCCGGGCTCCTGACCTCCTCTCCAACCCCTCCCCCAGCCCTTCCACTACAGGCTGCCCAACAATCTCCTCACGTCGCACTGCTCGTCACAGCCCAGGGTGGCCACATCGGCTTCCTGGAAGGGCTGCTCCCCTGGCAGCACTGCTACATGAGCCGCCTCTTCCACCAGTATGCCAGAGCCATCTTTCAGCACCCTGCAGAGCTGGTCGGGCTCAGGGAGGCAGGAGCTGACAGTAGTGCCATTTAGGGTCTCAGTTCAGTCTTATTTATTAAATATTGACTTTTCCTGTTGAATGGGCTGAGGTTCATTTTCCCTTTTCTCAAGGCTAGGGTGGACCTTCCAGGAACTTACTGCATATTTAGCCTGGCTGGCTTAGAGCTACTCAGCTCAATCCAGATTACTGCCTGGGTCTTCCTTCAGCCCCTAACGCCAAGTCCCAGGCTGGTGCTTGCCCTGGCAAATGCAAGGGGCTCACGGGAAGAGCAACTGGCCACAGGTTGTGCAGGGAGGAGGAGAAACGGATTGCTTCTGCAGGAAGGACAGCACTGACTCCACACTCTTGGGCATCTTCACATATTTCTGGAGAAAGGACAAGCTCAACTCTGGAGCCTCCAGTAAGCAGAGGAAAGGAGGCTGGTGGTGTGGCCTGGGCTGCAGACACCACTGTCCTGGGTAGATCCAAAGATGATGAACACAGGGTTCCCAGAACTCAGAGTCACACAGGGCCACAGCCAAGCTTTAACTTGACGGCAGTTGCCATCAAGTCCATCAGAGGCCACCAGGTAGAGGTGGAGTGAGCAGTGGGGTCCAGGCGTCCACTTTGGTCCAGAAGGTGGCAGAGTCCAGGCCCTTGATTCCCTGGGAGCAAGAGGCTAAAGAAAACCTGGAAAGGCACTCTGGAGCAGCAGGATGGTCATAAAAATAAGCCCAACACATAGCAGCAGCAGTAGCCACACAGGAACACTCCCTGCAGGGGAGGATAAGGGAAGACATCAGTGGGCAGCGGGGCTTCACAGTCCAACAAACAGAAGCCTCAACTGACTCCATGTAACAAGGGGGCAGATGGCTATAAACAAGCAGCCCATTGTTCCAGGAAGCAAATTTTTGCTACAGATAAAGGTTAGGTGGTACCTGCCCACCCCAGTGACTCACGTCGTGAGGGTAGCAGGTGCAGCTGGCAACGACTATCCACAGCCACAGAAAAGAGGGCAGTTTCATGGGACCCAAGGAGCTCTGGACCACGGCCTTTCTCAGGTAGAAAAGCCACATCCGTCACCACAATGCCATGGGCTTCCTTCACATAGTAGAGGCGCTGGGGACAGGAGGAAAATGAGTGACGGCAGCCCCAGCTGGAAACATTCCTTCTGGGATGCTTCCCTCAGGGCTGTGCCCACCTCGACCCATTACCTGGAGAGAGAAAGCTATGTAGATGGCAACAGATCCAGTGACCGTGCCCAGGCCTAGGAAGGTGCCCGAATCACTGCAACAAACAATAAAGTGTTCGTTGTCCTAGAGGCTGTATGGCCACACGCGTCCACTAACAACAGGCCTCAGGCAGGACCCCTCCCGCAGCTCTGCCAGCCACCCTCACACCCAGCCGAGCCAGCGCTGTCTCACACCTGACGCTAAGGCAAGAAATGACTTCGTGGCCACAGGATTTGGTCCGAAGAGGCAAGAAGGTGGAGCCATCCCAGGCTGTGAGGTAGCAGGGTGGGGGCTGGCGCAGACGCTTGTGGGGAATCTGCACTGTGAAGAGTCGCAGACCAGCACGCTGGTCTGGAACCTGCCCAAACCTGGGGGCCGAGGAGAAGCTGTTCAGCTCCTGGGGCCTGCCCAGCCCTCCTCAAGAGTTTGAACCCTCCTGCGCCCTAGTCAGGCCTGCGGTAACACCCGCCAAGGCTACAGTCCTCCCCAGCTTCCCCCCAGTCTTTTCCTGCCCCCCCTACCACATCCAGGCGGGGCCTCTTTTAGCCACCTTCCAGGATCTTCCCACCTGCAGGCCTGGTAGCGATAAGGCGTGTCAGAAAAGGTGGGTCCGTTCTCTTGCCAGTGCAGCTGTGTCACCAGCTGATCCTTCTGCCACACGAAGGCCTTAAGATCCCAGCCTACAGTTACCAACTAGTCAGGAATCAAGATTCCAAAGAAGGACAGTTAGGAGATCCACTTACAGAACAAGCAGCATAACCACCTACTTTCCCCGCCCTCTCACCTCCTCACCTTGCCATCAGGCCCCAAAGCCAGGTCCTCGATTTCCCCTTCGTGGGCTTTGAACTCCAGCACCTTCTCCAGGCTGGTTACCTGCAGTCACACCACCGCTATTTTTAGCCCGGGTACCCAGCAAGAGCGCAACGACCTCCACCCTCTTCTAAAGGCCACTCAGCGCAGACTTCCTGGAAGTTCCCAGACCCCATGTTCAGTTTCCCACAATTCTGGCCTTGCTGCTACCAACACGCATCCTCCCTAACCCCCTCAAGCCATACCTTCCAGACACGAACGTAGCCATCTGTCCCCCCAGTGGCAAGCAGGGTATTATCATGGTTGTAGCATACAACTTTCTGCAGTGGATCAGGGCTGAAGTCTGTCTGCACCGCCTGCAAATTCTCTACTCTCAGTTCTACCCCCTCCTGCTGGGTTTCAGCTCCAGGTTTCTTCTCTGTTGGGGCTGCCCCCTTTCTTTGCCGAGGCCCCTCCTCCTTTGGACCTGCAACGCACACATACTAGACTCCAGGCTTCTATAGTAAATACTACTGGCCCCCTCCACACAGCTGGTGAACATCAAGCTGCCCGCCTGCCACCGTAATCCCACAGAGACCACGATGAGAGTGATCTTGCTCATCTAACCCTGTTCCCAAAGCCAGAGAGCCAGCTTCTCACCTGCTTTCTCTGCCTTGTTTTTGCCCTTCTGCTGGTGGATCTGGAAGCGCAGGAGCTGACAGTGGGCATCCTGCCCTGCGGCAAGGATGTTACCAGCCAGCGCCAAGTTCATAGTAGCCCGCGTCTCTGTGTCATGGGAGTGTAGTAAGGAGGCACTCAGGCGCCCGTTAATCTGCTCTAGCTGCAGGAAATGCTGTTGGAGAGGGAACCAGGCTGAGCAAGGTTCAGGGGTGCCCGGGGCTTGCCTCAAGGGCAAACTTGCATCCTACGGTCTGATACCTTACCCTTTTGTTTACTGCACTTTCCAGTTCACAAGGCTTTCTCTAACCCTCCACCCCCACTTTTTTTGTTTTGAACCTCACAAATCTGTACAGCAGGCAGGGTTGAGAGCACTGCCTCCAGTTCACAGAGTTAATGGGTGACGCTTAGAAGAGTGAAGAAAACCTAGCCTAAGGGCCAAATGTAGCACTGTCGCCGCTGTTGGAGGACAGACAGCCTACGCGGCCTCCCCTGGAAAAGGCCAGGATAAGACCCTCGGCGCTGCTCCTGAGGTGGAGCTGAAGCGCCTAAGCAGCACCGTGTACAGTTTTCAGTTTACCTTAGAAGTCGCTCAATCGCCCTGTGATTAAGTTCTCTGCAGAAATTCGCGTCGGGATGCCTGGCTTGCCGCAGATTTCCACCAGGTAGCGGTAGGGTCGGAAGCTGGGGTGCGGCCCGACCCCGCAACCCTCCCGGAATCGCCCTCTGCCCAAGGTGTGACCCGGCCAGAGTGGCACTTGCACTCTTACCACTCCATTCTTTATGCCCGTCTTCGCGGCGCCTCCTCCGCCCGCAGCGATAAGCAGCCCCGTGCTGGGGTCGACCTGAACCGCATACAACGGGAACGGGGCCCGGTACAGCTCTGGCGTCCGGCGCCGACCCATCTCGCTTGCCGCGCACTTCACTGTCCGCACCGCGAAGCCCAGGACATGTCGCGCCCGGCCTTCGACTCTTGCCCTGGCCGCTTTTGAACTTGATTCTGTCGCCGCCGAGAGCACTCCCGACCCCTCTCACACCCGCGAGGTTGCCCACACTCGAACCACACACACTAACCCTAATCTCCGTCCCGGCCCGTCTAGTCTGGTCTTGCTGACGCTCGGTACGCAAGCGCGCCTAGCGCCTCTCCTCGCGCAGGCGCAGAACCGCCAATACGCGTCAGCAAGAGCCTGTGGCGGGGTGACCGCACACCCGCGCGGGGATTCTGTTCTCCGCCTCATTGTGACATCACACTCCGCCATCTTTTTGCGGGGCGGGAGCCACGTTTGAGCACCCTTCGGTGATTTGGAAGGGAGGGAGCTAATAAAAGTTAAAAGAGGTTAAAAAACTTTTAATATAGAAATTCTTGGATGAGGGATGTCTACCTTCAAGACCAATACGCAGGCTCATACAAGCGCAGCCTTTACGTTTTACCCCAGAGATGCAGTGATTTGTCCCAAGTTCACACACTGGAAATGCGACCTGTGTCTCTTGCCCCTTAATGGAAGCAGTGCAGACTTTAAAACAAACATGAATTAAAATCCCTAATCCAATGCTTCCTAGTACGAGGAAACGATTCACTGTAACACCTACCCATGGTTGGCAGCATTGGGAGTCGGCCATTCCCCTAGCTCTGACCCTGTTCTGTGGCCAAGGATTTGTGGGTGGGGGCTGTTCCCTTCTGACATCCTCAGAGGCAGGCACCCTCACCCCCACCAGGGCAGATCTCGTCTCTACCTGACACTCTACCCTCTTGAGGGAGCCCTTTGGTTTTCTGCAAGGGAATGCTAGGAGTGCCTTTGCTGCTCCCCTGGCCTCATCAACATGCGTCCTTGTTAACCTAAGGTTCACCCAGCGGAAGGGACCCAGTGGTCTCAACTTCGGGGATGCCATTATCTGTCTCACCAAATTGAAATGTGTCAAGGGCCAGCCAGAGCCTTCTGTACAACTCAGGTGCTCAGGCCTTGTAGGCCCTATACCCTTCTCAGATACATTGCATTCACTCTCCTTGGCCACTCTATTTCCTTTGACTCTCCGCCACCCCTTGCTGGGTTCTGGCCCTGCTGTAGGTACCCAGTGTGTCTGCTCAGTAGGACGCAAATGTAAATTTTGCAGTGTTAGGCTTTATTGTATACATTGAAGGCTGAGTGGGTCCTCGAGTGCCCTTGCTCCTCTTCAGCCAGGGGAGAGCAAACTCCACAAGGGACTCCCAGGATTAAGGGCTCGAGAACACACCTGACCTCCAGCCAGCCACCCCTTCAGGGTGTTCCAAGGACATCTTGAGATCTGGGGTCTGGTGGGGACAGTGGGGTTTGGAGGAGGTACTCCAGGGAGCCTCCGTGGCTCTGGAACTGGGGTGGTGACTTTTGGAGAACAGGCTTTGGAAAGGCAGGCATCTTTGGAGCAGAGGAAAGCTTGGGCTTCAAGGAGACAGTGGCCTGTTTTGGTGCCTGAGGTGGAAGCTCTGGACATTGAATAGAGTTTGGCGCTTGAGGGCCCGCAGACCTGAGGCTCCCGGCCTGGAAGGGTATGCCAGGGGCTGAATCTGCCTGGGCCTGAGCCCCTGGGGCTGGAGCTGCTGGGACCTGAGGAGCCTGGGCTGGATTCCCATGGGCCTGAGGGGCCTTGCCCTGAGATCTTACTTCCTCTGGTCTTCTTTCTGGCAACAGGTGCAAAGCCCTGGCCTGGCCACGAGGCAGGCGGAGGCCAAAGCCGATGCCTATTCGAAGTGGTCTGGATTCCTGGCCCTGTGCACAGGGCAGTAGTTGGGGGAAGGCAAGCAGCCGGGGTCCAGTCCTGTATTTGGGCATGGGGCAAGAGGGACCGCGGGGCCGGAGACACACCAGGCATATAGGATACTCCACGACTGGAGCCTGGCCGGTTCTGCCTAGCCACAGGCGCTGCAAAAGCAGTAACCGAAGGTCGTGTGCGATGCGGCGGTGCCCCAAGTGAACCACCAGGGCCTGGGCCAGGGCTCCTGGATGCCTGAACTCTGCAGGGTCCCTCTCGCTTGCCACGCATTCCCCCACCCCAGGGGACCTGGTGTCTTGATACTGATGCCAGTGCCACGTCTGTCTATTAGAGTGAATCCTTGGAGAAGGTAGGCTGGGCCTCGGGGAAGTGAGAGGGGAGCTAGCGAGGTGTTCGGGGTGAGAAGGCGACTGGCAGTGTGGGAGAGAGGAGTTCTGTGGCTGAGAGGGGTTGGAGGAGCGAGTAGGGGGAGGAGAGGGGTATAGCTGGTGGGAGGAAGAGGAGGAACGTAGAAGGGAGAGAGACGGGTAATTCTGATGAAAGAAAGTGGGGGATCTTGGGAAAGAGGAAGCGTAGGGATGTAGGACAAAGTCTGAATCTGAGTCAGAAGAGAAGAAAAGGGAGCCAGGAGAGTGGGACTGCGGAGAAGGGGAGCAAGGTGGGAGGGAGGGAGGGAGTGATTTTTGAGGATTCAGAGGCTGGAGGTTGTGAGGAGGGGAGTCCGCAAGTTGAGAGGGGCCCTGAGGGGGAAGCCCAGGGGGCGCTGTTTTCTGTAGCAGCACTTGGTCCTTGTTTTGAGGCAACATGGCCTTGAATCCAGAAAGGATGGGGTGTCAAGATCAGAAATTAAAGACCTGGCAGAGTCGGAACCAGGATCTCTGGTTGCAGCCTGGGAGACACCCAGCCCAGTAACACCAGCCTCTCTGGGTGTTCAGGCAGGAGCTTGGATCTAAACTTGACTTCTCAGGGCTTTACAGTCAGCCGTTGTGGAGGGATGAATAGAGACAGAGGATCAGAGCTGCTGGCTAGGAGCTTCGGGGCAGCAGCAATTATCTGAATGGGCCAGGGAGGAAGTCACAGCCCGCAGGACCTGTAGAGAAAGAAACAGAGCCCAAGATATTGGGAGAGTAGGTCCATTTCTGGCTCTGCCTCAGGAGCCATTTCCAGACTGGTTCATAAGACCCTAAACCCATGTCTCCTTTCAGGTCAAAAGAGCTGGCAAAATGCTCCAGGGAAGGTTAGCGCTGAAGAGGAGAGAAATACGAAAGGTAGGATGGAGTTGAAGAAGGGGGTTTGGCGTTTGGGGCGGATGGGACTAGGAATCGAGGGTGTTCTGTTGTCATAAGGCCTTACCCATGAGGGTTCCTCTGTGCTGCCATTCACAAGGCACTTCAGCAATGAGGGGACCTGGGAGAAAGAGGAACAGTCACCAAAGAATGGATCCACCCCTTTCCGCCCCCAGCATCCTTTATCCTGACTCGCTCTGACCCAGACTTCTGCCCGAGCCTTACCTTCAGTTCTCCTTTGGCCAGGCGCAGGTCTTCTCTTATAGGCTTTTGTTCCCCTAAACCTGAATTAGGGATTCAGCCAGCATCCTGGTTTCCTGCCGCTCTGGCTCCTCGACCCCTCGTTGTCCCTAAGGCTAGCGTCCTCTGGCTCAGCCTGGGCCTGGCCGATACACGCCGGGGCGTATCCCACCCAGCAGCAGCAGGGGCAGTGGGCCTAGCTGGTGAAAGCCTCTGAGAGACTGGGACTTTGTTTAAGGGGTGGCACTGCCAGCCCCCTAGGGAGCTAGGAGCCCCAGTTCCTGGGGGCGGTTCTCCATGACGTCCAGTGACTGTGTCACAGAGGTCAGGTGTTGACATCATAGACTGTCCAGCTCAAGGCTCTGGGGCCTTCTTTCAGAGGTCACCCACAGGCTGGCCCTTGACAAACGGAAGCAGGCAGCAGTCTTTGGGGCACTCGAGTCCCTCTCCCGGCCCCAGCTACCGCCTCTGCTCTCTGCCCTGCACCACTTCCTCTGCTCCCGGTGCTCCCGAACCATGCAGCCTATCCGGGCTGGGCCCTCCCTTTGACTTCCTATTTTTCCTTGCTCCCCAGCCCCCCTTGGGATGCACTTATATATTTTCATAACTACTTTCTTAACAGCTTTATTGAGATATAATTCGCATACCATACAATCCACCCATTTAAAGAGTGCAATGCACTTTTCTAGTATACTCCCAGGGAGGTGAAGCCATCAACGCAATCTAATTTTAGAACATTTTTGTACCGCCCCCAAAAGAAATCCCATTCCCATTAGCAGTTACTCCTCATTCCTCCCTCTTCCCAGTTCCTGAAAACTATAAATCTACTTTGTGTTTCTATAAATTTGCATATTCTAGGCAGTTTACATAAGTGGAATTTTACAATGTGTGGCCTGTTGTGTCTGGTTTCTTCCACTTTGCATCTTTTCAAAGTTAATTCATGTTGCAGCATGTATCATTATTTTATTACTTTTTATTGCCAAATAATATTCCTTTAAATGCATATACCATATTTTGTTTCCTCATTCATCAGTTGGTGGGCATTTTATAGTTTTTATTTTTTTGGTGACTATGAACAATGCTGCTATGAACATTGGCATATGTTTTCATTTATCTTGAGTAGATACCTAGGAGTGGAATTGTTGAATCACATGGTGAGTCTATATTTAACATTTTGAGGAACTGTCAAACTTTATTCTAATTAGCTGTCCTATTTTTCAATCCCACTAGTAAGGAATGATAGCTCTAATTTTTCCTATCCTCACTGACAAATGTTATTATTATTATTTTTTTTTTAAGATTTGACTTACTTATTCTTAGAGAAGGGAAGGGAGGGAGAAAGAGAGGGAGAATACATCATTGTGAGAGAAAAACATCCATTGGTTGCCTCTCGTACGCACCCAGCCAGGGACAGAACCCGCAATCCAGGCATGTGGCCTGACCAGGAATCCAACTGGCAACGTTTTGCTTTGCAGGACGATGTCCAACCACCTGAACCACACTTATCGGAGCTATTGTCTTTTTTATTTTAACAATCCTAGTGGGTATAAAGTAGTATAATATTGTGGTTTTGGTTTATATTTTTCTAATGACTAATGATGTTGAGCATATTTTCATGTGCTTATTTGTTATTTGTTTATATGGAGAAATATCTGTTCGAATCTTTAGCCTGTCTTTTAATTACATTTTTCTGTTCTTATTGTTGAATTGTAAGAGTCCTTATATATTCTGGATATAAGTCCCTTTTCAGACATATGATTTGCAAATATTTTCTTCTGTTCTCTGGGTTATCCTTTTACTTTCTTGATAGTCTCTTTTGGTGCATGAAAGGTTTTAAGTTTGATGAAGTCCAATTTATCTGTTTTTCCTTTTCTTGCTAGCTTTTGGTGTCTTACCTAAGAAATGATTGCCTAACCCAAGGTAACAAAGATTTGCTGTGTTTTCTTTTCAGACCTTCTAGTTTAAGCTCATACATTTAGGTCTGTGATTCACTTTGAGTTAATTTTTGTATATGGTGTGAGATAGGTACTTGGCATCCAGGTTGAAACAGTGATATTGGAACAGAGCCATTTTAGTTCGCTAGTTGTTCACTATTGTAGATGTTATCTACCACATGCTCTTCCCACCCCAAACACTCCAACCCTGAACAAGAACTCTGTTCTATTTCTTTCAAATGCTACATAGCACGCTTTCTCTAGAAATCTGTGAATGTTTGAGAGGATGAGTAAGTGGGTAAATGGACAGTTATTGAATAGAATTTGACCCATGCACTTTTTTTCATTCTTCTTTGTTTAGGTTATATATTATAATATAGTAGGAAGGGGCAGGAAGGGGCTGCTTGCAGAACTACTTGAGAATTCTTGGAGAAATCATGATTATAAGGGAGGAGTCAGACAACTGCAGGTAAGTAAATATTCAAAAAAAGAGAAAAAGATAAATTCTAGAATCTCAAACCAACCAGTGTGCCTGCCAGGAAAATTTGGAACTGGGTTACTCAACAAAATGGATGTGAGTGCTTAGAAAGGAAAGGGATGATCACAGTGGGCAGAGCGGGTTCGAGTAAAACAGCTTTTGGAGAACGTACAGCCATCTGGAGGTGGCAGGCAGTAGTTCTCTCTTGTACACAGGGGACATGTTCTGAGACCCCCAGTGGATACCTGGAACAGAACCGTACATATGGATGTGGAGAAATTGGAACCTTTGTGCACTGTTTGTGGGAATGTGAAATGATACAGCCACTGTGAAAAACAGTATGGCAGTTCCTCACAAAGTTAAAAATAGAACTACTGTATGATTCAGCAATTTCACTTCTGGTTATATACACAAAAGAATCAAAAGCAGAGTCTCAGAGAAATATTTGTACATGGATATTCATAACAGTATTGTTCACAGTAGCCAAAAGGTAGGAACAAACTAACTGTCCATGAGATGAAGGGATAAACAAAATGTGACATATACATACAATGGGATGTTATTCAGCCTTAAAAAGGAAGAAGATTCTGATACATGCTGCAACATGTATGCACCCTGCAGACACGCTCAGTGAAATAAGCCAGTCACAAAAGGACAAATGCTGTATGATTCTCCTCAGATGAGGTACTTCAGAGTAGTCAAATTCCTAGAGACAGAAAGTTCAGCGATGGTGGCCAGGTGATAGGGGCAAGGAGGATGGGGAGTTCTTATTTAATGAGTATAGAATTTCAGTTTTGCAAGATGATAAGTGTGCTGTGGAAGGACGGCAGCGATGCTTTTACAACAACGTGAAGGGACTTAATGCCACTGAACTGTACACTTTAACATGATTTAAAATGGTGCATTTTTATTACGTATTTTATCACAATTTTTAAATAAATAATTTTTAAAAGATATAAAATATTAAAATCAAAGGGTAGTCTTTGAACAGATTGATAAATTAAGCATACTTCTGGCAACACGGATGAAGAGCAAAAAGAGAGTTGGGTGCAAATAAAATATAGAACAAAAAAAAGAGGACTATATCTAGAGGCATAATGGAGATGAAAAAATAATAGAAGTGGGTTCCCACTTGGGACTAGAAGTAGTGAAACTTGTAGGGGAATTCTGTCTCGCCTGAGGTGCTAGGCGACGTATGGGTGGCTGTTGCAGAAGGGCAGGGAAAAGGCTTCTTTTCCTGTCCCCTTTCACTGCTGGTTGAAGCAGATGAATTTACAGAAAAATATAAAATACCACATATTTATAAGAAGAAATAAGGAACTTAAATCAATCAATAAGACATGAAAGAAACTGAGACAGAAGTTACAATTTCTTCTCTGCCAGAGAAAAAAACTCAGGCCCGGTGGTTTTACAAGAGCATTTCACCAAACTTTCAAGAGGAGTTAATTCCTGTCTTATGTAAAAAGCTGTTTGAAGAAACAGAAAAAGAGGGAGAGCTATACAGCTCATTGTAGGAGGTTAGTGTAAGTCTGACTCCAAAACCAAATATTGGTAATTAAAGAAAAATCATAATCTCATTTCATTTATGAAATAGTTGCAAAAATCCTAAATAACATATTAACTAAATGAATAGGACAGTGTATTTTAAAAATAAATCATAAGTAGATGGGATTTATCGCAGGAACTTCAGGAAGATTGTTCATCAGAAAAATCTAAGGGCATAATTTAACATATTAATAGACTGAGAGAGAAAATTTATGATTATCTCAGTCAGTGCAGGAAAACATTTGATAAAGTTCTACACCTATTTATGATTTAAAAAAAACAACAACAAAACCTCTTAGCAAATGAGGAATAGAGTACAGCCTTAACTTGGTAAAGGTCATATACTAAAAACCTACAGCAAATAGTATGCTTAATGGAGAAGTTGTAGATACATTCAGGTTAAAAGAAAAAGGTACCCACTATCACGATTTCTGGTTAACATAGTATTGGAAGCACTTGTCAATGCTCTAAGGAAAGAAAAAGAAACAAGAAATATAAAGATTGGAAAGGAAGAGATAAAATTGTCTTTATTATATCTACTGAGAAAAACCAACAAAATCAACAAAGTATTAAGACTAATTAAGTTCAGCCCTGGCTGGTATGGCTCAGTGGGTTGAGTACCAGCCTGTAAACTGGGTCACTGGTTCCATACCTGGTTGGGGCACATGCCTGGGTTGTGGCTTCATCCCCAGTTGGGGGCGTGCGAGAAGCAACTGATCGATGTATCTCTCGCACATCACTGTTTCTCTCCCTCACTTTCTCCCTCCCTTCCCCTCTGTCTGGGAATAAATAAATAAAATCTTTAAAAAAGACTAATAAAGTTCAACAAGGTTGCTGGTTTCAAGACAAACTTTTAAAAATTTAATAGCATTTTTATAGCACCCGTGATCAACTAGGAAATATAAGAATAAGACCATTTGCAAGAGCAACAAAAACGGTGAACTGTTTAGTACAATAAAACTATGAACAATTTCACTTAAGCAAGAATACACAGACATTCGTGGTGTAAACTATAAAACTAGCAGGTGATATAGAAGATGATTGGAATAAAGTGAGAGACATTCCATGTTTTTTGGAAAACTTGACTTAAAAGCATCAAGATGACAAACGTCCCAAATTAATCCATTGATTCAATGAAATCCCAGTCAAAATTTCAGTTGAATTTTTAGGGATTCAATAAACTTTCTCTAAAATATATCTGGAAAAATAAAGGTCCAGAAATAACAAAGTCAACCTTGAAAAGTAAGAGTAAAGCGGGAGTTTTATTCTACCAAATATTAAAACATGTTACAAAGTCATAGTAATGAAATCAGTGTGATATTGGCTCAAATACAGACAAAAAGATCAGTGGAACAAAATAAAGAGCTCAGAAATTGACTTATAAACAAATATGGAAACTTAATATATGGTAAAGTGGGAGCTGAGGCTCAACAGGGAGAGAATGGACTAGTTAGTCGATCATGTTGGGAAAACTGTCTCCCTATATGGAGATAATAAAACTGTCTCCCTATATGGAAAAAAATGAAACTGAATCTCTACCAAGCACTACACACAAAGGATGCTTGAACTCATCAGTAATCAGATAAGGGCAAATTAAAATGACTATAAAACTAGGAATCTAGTTAATACTGGGTGGTGGTGAGGACTTGGGGTCCCACGCAGCGCTGTCGGCCATGCAGACTCTGCAGCCATTCTGGACGGCTGTCTGGCTGTATTTAGTCAATGCATCTGGCATTCTGCTGCCAGACAGAGGTTTTTTAAAATCTTACCTGGATTTGGGAAAAGGTGTGCAGTGGTATTCATGACAGCATTGTTTGGGGCGAAGAGGAGCTGGAGGCAATCTGGATGTTCATCCCTGGGACTCTGGGTGCTCAAAATGTGATGAGTGCACACTGTGGAGCACTCTGCAATGGGTAGAAGCAAGGGACTTAAAACAGAGGCTTGAATGGAAGGAGTAACAATGAAGTACATAATACAATACTGAACATATAGGTGATATTATATTATATATTTATAATATAAAATGTATTATCATTTACTGAATTTAAAATTTCATTCATACAACAACGCACATGGTTCAATAATACCACATACTGCTTACCAAATTACTACTAAACTTAAATATCAATAAAGTTATTATTTCAAGCCTTGGCAGGGTAACTCAGTTGGTTGGAGCACCGTTCCAATACACCAACATTACAGGTTCCATCCCCAGTCAAGGCTCATACAAGAATTAATCACTGAATGCATGAATGAGTAGAAGAAAAATTTCTCTCTCTCTCTTTCTTTCTCATCAATAAATTTTTAAAAAGCAAAAATTTAAAAAAACACCCCAAAACATTTATCTCACGTGCATTCTGTGGGTCAGGAATTCCATGGGTTAGGGCAGCTTAGGTGGGTGACTCTGGCGCAGGGACTCTCCTGGGTTACACTCAAACTGTCCTCCAGGGCTGCAGACACCGCCATGCTGGACAGGGGCTGGAGGATCTGTTTTCGAGGTCATGCACTCACACTGGGCAAGTTGGCAAGAGGCTTTGGTTCCTCACCAGGTCGACCTCTCCTCAGGGCTATTCCATGACACAGCAGCTGGCTTCTCCCAGAGTGAGTGAGAGGCGTTACCTGAGTGACCAGAGAGAGAGCCTCGATGCAGAAGCTACCACTTCTGCCTCATTCTGTTTGTTAGAAGCAAGTCGCTGAGCCTAGCTCGTACTCACGGGGAAGGCGTCAGCCTTAGCCTTTTGAAGAGAAGCATATCAAAGAAGTTATGTAGATATTTTCAAACCACCACATGTACTAACAAAATATACATTAAAGCATTTAGAATGGCTGCCTTTGATAGGGAAGAATAATGGGAATGGGATGAAGGAAATGGAAGGAAGGAAGGCAGAGAGGCAGGGGGGCGGGGGGCGGTGTGCCGCTCACAATCGGCCCTGTGTGTCCCAAAGACTCTGAGTGCCATGAATTGAGGTGTGTGTTTAATTCTCTGCATCTGGAGAAAACAAAACAAAACAAAACCAGGCATGCATCTTTTTAGTCTCCTTTTTATATGTTTGCATAAATATGTACACTTACAGCTTTGGTGGGGTTTGGTTTTGTTTTGTAATTTTGGTGTTTTTCATCCTGGCTGGATATTATACATATTGATTGATTTACAACTAGGTTTTTTCACTTAACTGTGCATCTTGAAGAGGTTTTCCATGTCATTATACAGAGGCTTGTCTTGTTCTATTACCACACATCACTTCCTTATTGGGGGATATTCAGGTCAATTTTATGTGTCTTCTTTTTTCCTTTCTCTCTGCTTGGCTGGGTGTCTGCCTCATTGTATCTATAGCCACCTTTATTTCTCTGTCCTCTCTGTACTTTCCCTTTACTTATTTTGTCTCCCCTGGAGTTCAAGATCGAGGGAAAAGGACATGCAAGACACTTCTGCTGCTGGCAAAGGTGGTAACTTGAGAACAGGCAGGGGCTACTGTGGCGGGTTTGCTATTTCTTCAGCCTGCCTCCTGCTGACTAGCTGTATGGAGGATACAGTGCCACTCGGCAAACATCCTGGTCCTTCCCTTCAAAGACAAAGGGACAGGCAGGTGAGTAACTCGCCCAAGGTAAGAACTGCATAGGGTGAGGGCAGCCTTCCAAGTCTGCTGACTGCCTGGGTTTTCCTACCGCCTGCATCACTTACTAGATGTTTGATGTTGGGCAAGACATTTCACTTCCCAATACCTCGGTTTTTCCATTTGCAAAATGAGGATGTGAGTCTATTTTCTTATAAGGTTGATCTGAGAAAGAAAGATAGTACACTGTGCTTAGCGCACTGCCTGGTATGGAATGATCGGAGGACCTTGAACTGTTGGGGAGCTGGCCGGGGTGTGGTCATGCATAAATGGGGCGCCAATCAAACAGGAAGACATAGGCTCTGGGCTCTGGCCTTCAACAAACGCAGGGAACGGCCCGCAGAAGTGGCAGCCTTTCCCGTGGCAGAGCTGGAGGAAGGTGTTTTGGCGGGGCGGAAAGGTAGAAGGAAAAGCAGTGGGCTGGAAATCCGGGGCATGCCTGGGGGATAGGGAGTAGTGCCCGGTGGCTGGAAGGTCATGTTCATTGGCACGGGGAGGAAACATCCTTTTAGGGATGTGTGCCGGCAGGCTTCTGGCACAGAGAAGGAGGTTCAGGGCCCTTCCACGAACTTGAACTCCAACGCTAAAGTTGCAGGTCGATCATAGGACTGCTGTCAGGGTCAGGCAAGGCTCCAGGAAGGAAGCTCCCTTCCCACCATCCCCCTGCCTTCTTCAGCAGGGGCCTCCTCCCAGGGCTTGGCCACTCCCAGCACCCAGCACCCCCACCCCTCCTCTGGTTGGGAGGCAGGCAGGAGTTTTTTCTCGGGGGCTGTGCCGGGTGGGCGGTTTTCCCAGAGCAAGAAGCGAGGCAGGGCTGAGTTGGCGCCAGCTCCCTCAGATAGAGACACTGCTGATGGGATGACCAGCCTGCCCCCGCTCGCGTGAGCTCAAGGACTCCCTTGGGCTCCGTGTTCCTGTCCTGGGGGTGGCGGCACCACATCCCTAGGTGTGGCATGTCACAGAAAAAGGCCAGAGGGTCACCCACCATGCCCGGAGTGGGGCAGGGCCCAGCGAAGGCCAGGCGGAGGTTGCTAGCAGGCACCGACAGGAGGAGGAGCCGCCTGAGCAGGACAAGGCAGGACCTGTGGGAAGAGACCAGCTGGAGCAGCCAAAGGTGGAGCAGAGCGGCCCCTGGCCCAAGAGGGCCCAGGACCAGAAGCCTGGCTCGTGGCAGGGTAAGGAAACACTGGCCCCGCAGAGGGCGCTGGGGATGCAGGGGCTGGAGGGGCTGAGAGGAATCACCTCCGATGGCAGAGCGTCATTCAGTGTTAGCATCCCTGCTCTAAAGAGGAGACACTGGCCCCTTCCACTCTAAGGCTCCGTGCTTCCGTGGTTGGGATGAGCCGGTCTTAACCAGAGTGTGGCTGAGAGACCGGGCCCAGCTCACTTCTCTCGGGGACACGGCAGCCTGGAGAGAGGATGCGAGTTTCCCAAGGTCCCAAGCAACAGTCAGCCGCAGGGCTAGGAGCTCATTCTATGATTTGACCCCAGTTTGGTGTCCTTTCCTCTTCACCACAGCTGCCTCTTCCTCGCAGGACCTGTCTGTGCCAAGGGTCATCCTTACTGAGCAGGGCAGGGCTCCGTGCTCCCTGTGGCCCCAGAGCACCATGATAAGCAGGATTCAGACGTGGGTGTGGACGGAACCAGGGCCAGGAGGAGGCACAGTGGAGAATTAGGGCGAGTGCAGGTTCTGAGCCGAGCTTTGCCATCCGGGTCCATCTGACCCCAGGCAAGGCTGGCTCTCCATTTCCTCAGCTCTAAGTCAGGGCAGGGCCAAGAACGGACACAACGGAGTGATGCTTTTGGTCCCTGCTGTTCAGAGGGCTACCAGTCTGGCAGAAGGCCTCGCCCTAGAATGTTCCTAAAAGCCAGGGACCGATGGGGGGCCGGTCAGACTCACTCACCCGGGGTCCTCTGTGCAGAGTGAGGCCAGCCCCGAGAACGCGGCGCGGGAGCGGAGCCGGGTCAGGACACTGCGCCAGGCCTTCCTGGCCCTGCAGGCCGCTCTGCCTGCCGTGCCCCCCGACACCAAGCTCTCCAAGCTGGATGTGCTGGTGCTGGCCACCAGCTACATAGCCCACCTCACCCGCACGCTGGGCCAGGAGTTGCCTGGCCCTGCCTGGCCACCCTTCCTGCGTGGACTCCGCTACCTGCACCCACTCAAGGTAGGCCATGGGCCCAGCCAGGGCCTCAAGGAAGAGGGGTTTGGGAGGGAAGGATAGTGGACTTGGGCCTCCTGTCCATGGCGGGGAGATGAGTCACCATCTTAATAACAGCTAACATTATTTGGATGCTAAAGGTATGCCAGGAGCTGGGCTACGGGTCTTAGCTCATTTTTCCCTTTTAATCCACACAAGAACCAATGGAGGATTATTTACCAACGAGGAAGCCCAGGCTCAGGGGGAGTAAGTGGCCAAATGCAGGTGAACCCAAGGGTGCCTGACCTCAGACCCCATCCCCCCACTACCCCTGCCCACAGCCTCCACGCAGGCCCAGGGGATGGCACAGACGTAGCTAACATGCAAGAATTTAAGACTAAATGGGAGCAACTCTGGAAGGCCGACAGTGGGACCTAGGGGGGCAGAGCTGCTTCCTCAGCTGTAAAATGGTGATCGAGGCGAGGCCATTGCATAGACGAGGCGGTGGATGATACACTGAAGAGGGAACAGATAGGGGCCAGTTAGTGGGGCTGGTTAGGCAGGAGCAGTGGCTGCCAAGACGAGGGCAGACCTCAGGATATTTTCTGGCACTGCCCAAGCTCCTACTGGCAGGACAGATGATCTTGGGAGGTCCCCAGCTCAGAGCGTGCCGGCAGCACTGACACCCAGGGCCAGAGGCACTTGGGGGGGGGGGGGCGCGGGGCAGGTGCTATACAAGAGAGGGTCGGGGCTGTTCAGCATCAGGGGTCTTTCCTTGCCCTGCCCTGCACCCCAGCCCCAGCCTGGCTGCAGCCAGCCCTGCCATCACCTCCCTCCCTCCTCACTGTGGGGGCTCCTCTTGGGGGCCTTGCTCCTCGAGCGCATCCCTGCCAGGCTCAGGTGGCCAGGAGAGCGTGTGGGGCCAGAGCGGTGGTGAGCCAGAGGCCGCTGCGTCGCAGCAGACACGGCAGGCGAGGGTCTCGGGGCGGGAGCCTAGGGAAGGCGGGCTTTGGGGTGCTGCGGACTAGGAGGGGCTGCAGTGGTGGGCATTACTTACTTTCTGTCCCTGTGTCTTGCAGAAGTGGCCCATGCGGTCTCGTCTCTATGCTGGAGGCCTGGGCTGCTCTGGCCTCGATTCCACCACAGCTGCCGCCTTGGGCCAAAGACCAAAGGAGGCCGAGGCCAGGCCCCGAGTCCCTGGAGAGGCAGATGCCCTCTTCCCCACCAGGCCACTCTCACCAGCTCCTGGTGACAAATGATCCTCACATTCACCCTTTTTTCCTAGACTGCGCCTCAAGCTTAGGGGCCCGGATTCTCTACCAGGCCCTGCTTCACTCCGACTCTTAGGCATCGGCTCACACTCAGCTCCCGGGTTCCAGCCCGCACACCAGACAAAGCCATGGGCACGCCCGTGACGGAGAGAGCTCAGGAGGACCAGGGAGTAAATCTTCATCTTGGCACCCAGGGGGTGACTCCCCAGTGGCTCTTCCATGGCAGCTACAAGGGAAATGGTAGAGGAAGAGGTTTGATCGGGTTGGAAGTTGAGTTAGGGCCCCACCCCTTGCTTCCCACCAATCCCTTAAAGTTCCCACAAACCCTCTGGAGGTTGCAAGCAGACAGACCTTCCTGCACAGGTGCAGAGGTAGGGACTTGGGGTAGCAGCAGCCTCAGGGGCTGATGGGACAGCCAAAGGCCAGACAGGCTCTCGGCAGCTGTGAGTGTGAACAGAGCTTGGCTGGGGTCGCTTAACCAGAGGGGAAACTGAAGAAGGGAACATGTTTTGTTTTGTTTTGTTTTGTTTTGTTTGCCACAACGGGCTTACTGAATATGAAAGAAGCAGGAAGGAATTTAGGAGGTTTGCCTCTCCATTATGGCCTCTCCAGCTGCCCCTCATCACTACATTTTCTCCCTCTGTGAGCCCTGCACCCTTCCACTCTTTTGATATGAGTTATATTTTACAGGTCAAGCCATAAAGCTTATGTTGTTTACATTCCAGTTTCCAGACACACTTTTATTCCCTACTGCCTAGTTTGAGCAGATCTTAACCCAGAGGCAGCTCTGCCCTGACTGAGCCAGACAGCACCTCAAGGCCTTTCATAAGACGAATGTAGATGGACCCAGTTCCATCCTTGAAGGACCTTAGAAGTAGGTGTGTCTTTCCCAGGGAATGGTAATTATAGTCTTCTCTTTCCATTATGTTAGAAACCTAACCTCCAGGGAAAACAAGTCCAGGGTTCAGTGGGTTCCTTGTCTGATTTTGGCCTAAGGCCTCGCTGGCTCTGGAGTTATTTTTACAATCTGTCTACAAATGACTTTTCTAGGGCCAGCTCCTCCCTGCATACACTGGCCTCCCAGGCTCTCCCTAGGTCCTGCCATGGGGCGCCAGAAATCTGAGCATTCCAGTGGAATTTCCTTCTGGTCCTGAAGACATAACCTGAGGACTAATCACAGAGTCTACATTTACTGGAAATAATCTTCCAGATGCCCGAAGTCCAGACAGACAAGGATCCACCTCTTTGTTGAACTTCAGGGTCTCCAAGTGGGAGGGGCTGGGCCAAGACGACAAGAGCCCCAACAGGGGCAGCCTTAGACAGAGCCACCATTGCCGTCAGGAGAGTAAGTGGGGTTTGGGCCAGGCTGGGAGTGGCTGGTGGTCGCCGGTGTGATGAGTTGCTCTTCTTCCGCAAGGCCGGCCAGAGCAACAGAGAGAAAGGGGCTGAAGAGGTGACTCAGCAAGTTGGGGTGGAGGCAGGAAAGGAGACACAGAACGTCCTAGCCATGGCTGCACGGGATGTGGGAGAGCAGCTGGACTGTGGCTGGGAGCCACGGGGAGAAGGCCCCAGCCAAGGCCGAACTCATAAATCTACCGAGGGGCCCGGAGAGCTTGTGCAGAGCTGCCTCTGGGCAGCTGGACGGGGCCAGGCAGGGCAGAGACCAGGTGTGGGTGGGCATGAGACAGTTTCTTCACAAGACCATAAAAGTCCAGCTCGAGCGTTCTATTTTTAAAGCCAATGAGCAGCATCTTCCTGGTTGAGTTTGAGGGTGACGGGAAAAGGAGCAGAAGAATTTCCTCCCATGCGGGTGGCACACAGTGTTTTTCTGGGGGTGAAACTGGGAACGCTGTCTTTGGGTGTGCATGGGGGGACCCCCCAGGGCATGCAGCTTCTCCTGGTTTGCAGTTTGCCCCACCCCACCCGGCTCAGACCCAGGCTTGTGTCTTTGTGGGGGTGACCACGTCACCCTGGTAGAGAAGACAAGGGGAGCAAAGGAAAGATGGCGCTAGTGAGGAGCTGAGGAAGGGCAAGGCCATCATTACGGCTTTCTAAGGCTGCCTCAGGCTTTTTCCAGCAAAGCTGTGTCCCTTAGTGCCCGGACAGTCCCCTAGAGACCAAAGGCCACCTTCTCCAGCTGGACAACACCCGGCACAGGAGGGAAAGAGCTGTGAGGGCTACAGGTCAAGCCAAGGAAAGGACCAGGTGATGAATGAGAATAACCAGAGGAAGTATCGGCTTGGAGACTCGGGTCCACAAACAAACCAGGGCCAGGAGTAACCCGCTTTGTGTCTGCGGCAGAGGGAGACCCCCACCGGCTCCCTGGGAGGTTCTTTGTTCCCACCAGGGCTGGGGGTGCGGGGTGGACAAGGGCAGTTGGAGACAGCTGAGACTCAGGTCCAAACACAGCTTTTATTCCCTGGGAACTGTGGTATGTGGGAAAGAGGTTCCAAAGGAAACAGGAGCACAGATGACACAATGACACTAAGATGGCCTGGCTCAGGACTCAGAGAAGGCTGGTCTACTTGGTTGTCTTGTACAGCCCAGCCCGCCCCAGCGCCCCTGACCGGAGGTGGGGTGGAGGCCTTGGGGGAGAGGACAGCCTCCCCGGAGCTGAGCCGGATGTGCGAGGCTTTCTGACGCCCCCAGAAGTAAGGGCAGAGGCTTAGATGGGCTGTGGGAGAAGCAGAGCTGGCCAAGGGTTATCTAAGTGTTGAGGTGGAGACGGCAGAGCTCACCAAATTGGCAACTACAATAATTAGAAATAGAAAGCCTAGTCTTTGGGAAATTCCTTTTCCCTTCTTCTGGAGCCTGGCCAGGATGAGTCAGATAGCGTTGTCCCCTCCCTTTTGTGGCACAAGCCCTAAATCCAGGGACTCTGTGAGCTTAGATTCTAGACCAGAGGTTGGCAAACTGAGGCCAAGGGGCCAGATCCAATCCCCCTCAACCTGTTTCTGTAAATAAGTTTTTATTGGAATAGAGTCAGTCCCATTTGTGTACATATTACCTATGGCTGCTTTCTGATACCATGGCAGAGTTGACTGGTTTCGGCAGACTGTAAAGTCTAAAATATTTACAGAAAAATTTGCTCCCTCCTGCTCTAGATCGGAGATAATCAAAGTGAAGCCCGGGAACCCTGGGAGGGAGGCGGGGGATGGGGGTGTCCCCAAGACCCTTTCCATATTCTAAGTGGCTGAAACTATTTTCATAGGATGCTAGTTGCCTTTTTTCACTCCTATTCTCTCACAAGTGCAATGGAATTTTCCAGAAGCCATATGACATCTGCAATAGCAGATGGGGTGTAGAAACCAATAGAAGAATCCAGCTGTCTGTTACAACAGACATTACGGATATTTGCAAAAATGTAAAACAATGCCCCCTCTTCTCACTAAATATTTTCCAAAGTGGAAAACAATTATTTTTCAGGAAAATGTTATATAGGTTCACATACAATGAGTTAATTAATGTTATTTTACAATAAACAGTCTTAAAAAGTCTGTTTCAATTTCTGATACAGTGACTATCAATAGCAATAACTCATAAAAGCAAAAGCTCATCGAAGTCCTTCTTTTTAAAGAATGTCAAGGGGTCCTGAGGCCAAAGTTGTTAGAATTTTTGCTCTAGCATAAGTAGGTGATGGTCAAGGAAAGATGCCCCCTCACCCCATGATCCTCACGTGACAGCTCTACCCTCTGCCCCAGGCAGACAGAGCGAATTGGTTTTGGTCTCTGAGGGCGGACGGACTGGGGTCAGCGGAGTGCCTGGCAGTGTGGCCAGAGGCCAGGGTCTTGAATGAGGTCTCCTGTGGCGGGGGGAGGGTGCAGGTGGAGCTGCTGCCCTGGTGGACTGGGCCTTCCTCGGGCACGGCCATGGCCTCCTTCTCTCCGCAGCCCTTCAGCATCCCATTACTCATCTTCTCCGGGAACCCTCTGGTGTCCACAGAGAGGTCCTGGGGACACACAGGGCAAAGGGATGGACTGAGGAGCAGGAGACGAAGGGCTGGGGAAACGACGCTGGCGGAACGGGTGGAAGACCCCGCCTGGGCCCCAGCTGGAGGGGCAGCAGCACGACGGGGAGCAGAGGAGAGGCCGGCACCCCTGCGTCTCTGCGCCCAGACCCTCCTGCCCACCGAGCCGGCGCTCCCCCGCGGGGAGGAGCCGGGGCAGCTGCCGCAGGCCGGGCCGGGCCCAGGCTATCATCAGAGAGGCGTGCTGGGTGCGGGGAGAAACAAAAGGGACGGAAGGGCCCCGGAAGGTCCGGCGGTAGTGTGGAGAGGGGCGGAAGGGGGCCCTGTGGGCAACACAGGCACTACCTGGCTGCAGGTTTTGCAGTGGAGTCGCTTCTGGCAGGACGCAGGCAGGAGGGCCAGGAGTCTTGGCAACACTGGGTAAATGGTCCGAGGGTTCAGGGTCCGGCCCCGCATTCCCCCTGAAGGTCAAGGCGCCTGAATCTCACCACAACCAGTGTATCACATCACTACCTCTGGGGGGCGGGGGCGGGGGGGCGAGGGGGCGGAATATATGGATGGGCACTTCCCCTTTCTAGGGTTCTTGCTTCCTCAGCCTCAAGTTGGGAGAAAATCCCCCCACCCTGACACAGCAAGAGGTCAGCTGCTGAACAGTGAAACAAAGGGACCACCTCAACCGCTTAGGGCAGGAGAGGCAGGCTTCTGTGTAACCGACAGGACACACCTGAAAGAGGGAAGAGCTGACCACCAGCCATTGGTGAGATATGAGTGAGGACAGAAGCAGGAACTAAGGACCATTGCCACTGAATAAGCTGAGAAGTTATGATGGGGCAAAGATGACTGAGGTTTTCTTTTTAACCTAAAAATAAATTATAAAAAATTATGATCTAGTCATCAGAATAGAAACAATCCTCCCGGACAGAGAAAAATAGTTGAGTAAATCAGGCTGGCCTAAATAGCAAGTTACATTAAAGTCTCAGGGGTCAGTGCCTCTGTGTTGGGTCCAAGTTGGATGGAAATA